GGAAATTCCAACAAGGGTCTCGCAGCGGGACTTTCGCACCGCCGGCCGTGGAGTCCACACAGACAAGCAAATTAATTAGAAAATTCCAGCAATTTCAGCTGTTTCGGCTGCAATAAATTGCTGATTTTGCTTCAATCTGAATAGCTTTATGAGTAAAGAAATAAAATAATGAAAATTTTTCAGACTTTAATATAAGCCTACTAGGTTTTGTTCCAGTTCGCAATCTGGGTTCGTCACTCAGCGAATGAATTATTCTTCTGAATTTTTAGGTATTCTTTTCTCTTTTTGCCTTCTCTCAACATTTCTTTCCGAGGTAGTTCTTTTTAATTATCGGATTTTTAAAACAACGAAGACAACTCACTTGCTCAAATTTTTGTTACTATCGATATCCTCATCATCACACGAAGCGAGCGGTATGTCCGGTACTCGCAGATCGGCAGCATCCATCGCAACCTCTCCAAAACGCATCGATAACTTCTAAGTTTAAAGACGAAACACACACACACACAGAAGAATAGCAAGATAAGGAAAATGCTTTTTTGGGGGATTGGCTTGGGGTTGGGTCGAAATGGGAAAAAGAGGAAGAATGGGAAAAACGACGGAAAAGAGAAAGAAGAAGAAGAAGGCAAACCGACGACGTTAAGTGAGAGAAACCAGAAGACGAGAGAAGAGAACTGCAGAGCTCCGCCAAACTAAATGAATGCTCTCGCACTAGCTGCTGTCTTTTCTTCTTCTTCTTTTCTCTCTGGGCTTAGCCAACGACGACGACAAGAAAACGAAACGGAGCCCTGCGTGCAGTAGTCACTCCCTCTCTCTCCTCTGCGCAAGAAACAAGGGACCGAAGACGCAGACATCAAAACCGCATATGCATTGGATCTCCGTTTCTCCTGCCTGACCGACTCTCTCTTGGAAATGAGTGATAGAGAGACTTAGAGAGATGAGAGGGAGAGCGATACAGAAGTTCGAGTGTACATATTAGTCGGCGAAAGAGATGGAGAAATACGAAACCCTTCCCTTTGGCCAGGGCGCCTCTCGCTCCACTAAGAAGAGAAAAAAGGGAGAGGAATGTGAAACAAGTATCCATTCTCTTTCTCCCATCCTGGCGACATACACACCCACAGATGAGCCGCATGTCTGTTATGTTGGCGAGAAACAGATTGATTGATGAGAAGAAGAAAAAATAGAAGAGCACTTGCGGTGACATTTTTGAGATCTAATCGGTTTACGGCAAGATTTATAAAAGTTACGAAATCCGAAATAGAGTTAGACATCGTAACTTAGGAGGAGTGAAGTAGGTTATTGGTTTTGAAATAAATAATGGATCTGAAACGAGTGCACTTTTACCTACAGTAACCTTTCGGTAGGAGAAAACCTATATTGTGGCTGCAAAATTTGCTGTGTGTGGTATATCGAACTAATTTTATTAGCCCTAATTATCCAAATAAACAAACTATGAATAGAGAAGACGCCCTAGTGAGACGAGAAGGAGGTGAAGATGAATGACCCCGTCGTCTTGACTGAAATTGAAAGTTGTCACCAAATTTTTACGATTAGATAATTGGTATTATTTTCGGAAGTGACAATAAAAATAGGATGTCAAAAAATAGTACATGCTTTTTTAAAGATGCTGCTTTAGGGATGTTTGCAACGGAATTCCGATTTTTTCAGAATTAGGACTACAGTATGTCAAAGGCACACGCAAGAAGTTTGCTTGCGGGTTTCGAGCGGAACAACTTTTTTCATTTTTCAGTGTTGCTTAAACATCTTTTTTCAATGTTTCACCAACTTGTGGCACTTTTGTGATGGGAAAATGGCATCGCTGCTTTAAAATTTCCAAAAAATTTGAAAATTTGAAACTGGGAAATTTTGATGTTCCGAAAGTTGAAGGCTTGTAAATTTATTTTGTAAAAAAGAAATGTCTCTTTCACCCTTCCTTTTTTGGTCGGGAAGGCGGAAAGACCAAAGTTGTGCTCCCCCAACATATAACAATGAGTGATTTATGCCCTTTAGCAGTTGCCAACCCACAGACAATTCCACTTTTTAGACCTTTCAGAGCTTTTTTCTGAATTTTCGCACCTGCACTCCTCTATGGTTATTGCTCGGCGAGAGCAGAAAAAACTATAACAAACAATTTAGTGGGTGTTGACAATTCCACTATGCGTTGTTGTCCGTTGACGGAGGGCTGGCTGGTTAAACTCGTCAAAAAGAACAAGAGAGACATTTTAAGGGAAATGTCGAGTAATAGAAGTGTACTTTCAGATGAGAAGAGCCGAAAAAAAAGAGAGAGAGATGAAGGAATAAATTGAATTGAATTCGAAATTTAGGAGGTCGATGGAGACTAGCGAAGTATTTTAATGACCAATGGTATGGTTCCCTTAACTAACTGGAAACGACACAAGGAATATAAATTTTGAATTTTCAAATTTATAAAACTAAATTTAATTATGCAATAAAAACATCTAACCGATTTATATCCTATCTCTCAGCTACCAGAATCCGCACTTTCGAGTAATCGTCGAGATTGTAGCCTTCTGAAATATAAGCATTTTGATTAAGGACCTAATGAAAGATTTTTTTCAGATTTTCGGAATTTCCTTTTCTCATCACAAAGACGCGAAAAGATGGTGAAAATTGACGGATTTTGAAAAAAAGCAAAAAAACCATTGAAAAAAATTCCGCTCGACACCAGCGAAGGAACTTTCCGTGCGCGATTTTGAACTACAGTACTTCAAAGGCGCATACGAAATGTTGTCTCGAGGGTTTCGAGCGGAATTACTTTTTTTGCTTCTTCGAATTTGTTTGTCAATTTTCACCAATTCTTCGCGCTTGTGCAATGGGAAATTGAGTTTCTATTTCAAAATTATAATTTGAAAAATTCCGAAAATTTCTGTGATAGAATACCTTATATAGAGAACATTTGCAGCAATCAATCCTATTACAACAGCGGCAAGAACGACAAGCATTCGATTTTTCTGTTTTTCCTTCAAATACTCTTCTTCTGGATTTCTGTAATTGAAGAAGTCCATAAGCATTAACGAAAAATCCTGATTACCTAAAATGTGAATACACAGTTTTTCCTGCTTTTTTCTTCGCATCTGGAATCACATCTGCACTCCATTCGGCTCTCTGGATATTCCTCCTTTGCGTGGACATTTGCTGCGTCTTATGTGTCGCCTGAAACAAAACGGTTTCGGTCTGATAATAGACTTCTTCTCTAACCTCCATTAAAAATCCTCCTTCTCTACTGTACGCCAAATCGTATTCCTTTCGTTTCTCTTCATTTCGCAGAGTATCATAAGCTTCTTTGACAAGCATGAATTGTTCTGTATCAGAAAAGCCAGTCGCCCATCCTACACGACTATCTTTTATCGATTTTTGTGATTGGTCCGGATGGAGCTTTTTGGTCTTTGCTAGGAACGCATCTCGAATCTGTTCTTTTGTTGCTGTTGCTGGAACTCCAATTATCTCATAGTAATTCTTTCGGGTGATATAAGAAGCGAATAGACGTCTGGAGATCAGTTGGCTCATAAAAATTGGAAGAATTCTGCAAAAAACAGTATTTTTGTGTTCAGATCAGAAACGTTCGGAACGGCATTTTCGGTATATTTCGATTTTTTTAATTTCGGAATTTTTTTCAGTATTCAAATTTTAAAATAGAAATACCACTTTCAGATAAAAAAACGGTGAAAAATTGACAAAAATGACTCCAAAAACTCAAAAAACTACTGTAAAAGTAATTCCGCTCGAAACCCGGAAGAAAACTTTTCGCATGCGCCTTTGAAATACTGTAGTTGAGTAAGATTTCGCAATTTTCGGAATTTGGTTTTTTTCGGGAACCTTTGATTTAGATGATAGAAATACGAGCGGAAAAAACCTGGGATCTATTCTGTAAAATTTACTATCAATTTTATTACATTCCACATATTAAAGCGAAAATCACAAGAAATCACATGCAATAAGATGATCACAGTGGTAAACGACTAAATATCCACACAGCAGCTATCGGCCAATCTCTAGAACTGAGACTATTCGTGAAGTGACAAATATTAAAGTTGATATAAAATGTAACGAGTAACGATATAACAATCACTGGGATATAGGGAAAAACGAAAATGGACAGGAATGTTGGCAGAAGAACCGAGTTTACAGAAGTTATCACAATTAATAAAAGAAACATTCGAGGTGCAGATAGAACAGATGAATTCTGGAGAGTGTAGAATACAAGTAAAATTAAGTTCATAAAAATGATAAAACAGGAAAAATAGGCGATTTCGGTGTCAAAAAACAGGGAGAGCGATGTGAAAGAAAGAAAAATTGCGAGAAGATGAAGAATGAAAACCAGATACAGGAGAGGAAGTTTAGGAGGATGTGATAAGCGTTCAATGCCAGATATAAGAATTTTTGAGATTAATGGAAGTGGGGTGCAAAGGTAGACGAGAAAATGATACTGTTGGACGAACTCTCGGACTCCTGGAGTGATGAAAAGGGTCATATTGCCTTAAATTCTTTTAAATATTTATAGTATGAAGAAGTAGCTCACCTAATGCATAAGCCAGAAAAATACAAGAGACCACCGAGAACACTTTTCGCGAGTAGACCATAATTTTTCTGGTATTAGTGGCACCCACTGCCATCTTCAAGTTTCCTTCGTTTTCATCTTCTGGTGTCATCGATTCTGCATCATCATCCTGTCTCATACTCGTCTCCTGTTTCAAGTTAGTAATTTTTAAGAAAACCAGTGCATTGTTAGTAGGTTATTTGTGAAATATCACACATGCGAATAAAAATGGTCGTAGGAAATTCGAATTCACAGTTTATCTCAAATATCACTGGATCAAAAAATAAATACGATTATGAGACAGCTTGGAAGAAGAACACACATCGGGGAAGAATATGATCAAAATGTATTACGCAACGGGTGGCAATGCTGGCTTGGAAGTTTCAGCGGGAGCTTTGTAGATGAGATCGTAATGGCCTGGTCGATACAATAGAGTGATGTCTGGTGTGAAAGTGGCGTTGTCGTGTCCATCCGGAAGATTGTGATGTGTTCCGCCGTTTGGAGCAGCATTGCGATCCATGTATTCGATGCGAATGCGGATATTGAGTGCACGGACTAATGCAATGATGCCCAAGTGATCCGATTCTTTCCACATAGCTTCGATTTCCGTTTCGCAGTATTGGGCCAGAGACATTCCCTCGTCGAGAAATGGCTCGTACTCAGCAGCATGTTCCTTAAGATATCCAGAAGTGATGAGGCGGAAGAACATGAGCAAGTAGTTGGCAGTGTTGTCATCGTTAAAGATACGGAAAACATCCTCCTTCTGGTGAATGCCATCACGGACTTTCTCAATGAACTCGATGAAAAACTCGCAGAAGTCCGTGCATGTCCAATCTGGGAAACCGAGTTTCACAAGCCGTTCGGTCCATTCTTTGCAGCTTGCAATGAACTTGACAAGTCTCTCCTTATCGTTGAGTAAGATTTCGACTAGCCCAACTTGGATAGCACGAATGAAGCAGTTGCCATCTCCTCTGATGAATCGAATGTGTGAGTAAACTTTGGCGAGTTCGTTGGCTTTCTCAAAGAATGCAGGTGCTGTTTCTTGATCATAAAGAGAAACCAACGTGGCGCAAGGCATCTTCTCTCCTACCAGTGGAGAAGCTTTTTGCTGAAAATTTAATCACTGTGGAATTCTAGGATACGACTAATAAATACCTCGTCTTCGATCCTCTTCATTTGTTGATCTTGTAGAATCAGCTCATCCTCGGTTGTTGTAACGATGCCTGCCGTGGTTGGTTGGTTCTCAGATGTATCGTTAACCATTTTTAGCCTGAAAAATAGATGTAGTAATTTAGATTTATTAATGTGGGTCTGAAGGGTAAAACTGAATATGTTTTGAACAGCGTAATCGGACCGTTTGAGCACATTCACATGAAAAATAGTGAAATCGGTTGAAAAAGCTATTGCGAGCTATAGCTAAACATTATGAATAGCGAGAAATCGTGAAACTGCCAGGAAAGAAACAGAAAAATTGAAGCTTGAATTCCGGAAAGTGCAGGTTTTTTGGGTCCGCATTTTCACAACTACGATCAATTGCAGACAGATTACGGTTTGCAGACCGTACGACTATTGAAATTTTAGGTTTTCCCCATCGTTTTCATTCAAGAATTTTCAAAGATAAGTTTTTTCCTCTCGAAAAGTTTGGTACGAATTCAGCGAACGAATTCTAGATCAGTGCCCAAGTGCTATTGACACCGCATTCGTGTGAACGCGGCGCACGCAAAACACGTCAACTTGCCAAAGACCGGTCCTTGCGCGCCGGTCGGGAGACACGGCTCCCCATCATCTGGTCGGTTTGAGCGCTCGCCCCTCTCGCGCAGCACACCGCATACTTCTTCGCTCTGGCCGGAATTTCGGTGCTTCTCGTAGCCTCAAGACCGTGGATGTCTGTGTTTGTTTCTCTTTTCTCTATCAGTTGACTCGAAAGTTCTGTGTTATTTCTTCCTTTCGTCGTCGCGTCCTTTTTCGCTTCCTCCTTAAGACACAGACTCCCAAATCATCTCGCCCCCCGTGAAGAATCTCCCAATGCTCACTCATTTTCCCATTGTTCTCTTAGTTAGTGCTGCTGGTGGCTGCGCAGCACCAGATGCAACAAGCTTTCTTTAAGGATGGCCTGGTGGCCACTGACCACACACATTTTGGAAGAGACGAGGGCAGACTCCCGAATCGATAATTTTCTCAAGGGCATCACGGACACCCGCCTACCACCACCCTTGTCGTCACCAACACTTTCTTTTTCTTCTTCTCCTTTCTCGCGCCCTTCTTTGTTCCCAAATTTTTGGTCGGCACTGATTTTTTTTTCTTCTCAATTTCCGATTTCTTCCTGTTTGCCACCTCTTCTTGTTGGAGAGACTAGTAGTATTGGAAATTATAGCGAGAAAAAGAAGACGAACAACAAAAACACTAAAAACTTTCACCCAAACCAAACCATTCATGCCATTCTCTCCATACAAACTTCCGTGTCATTCTTCTCTCCGGCTGAAGCTATGATTCGTTCCTTCCGTTCTTCATGGAAACCTTTGTTCATCTTCTATTTTTTTTTTCAGCTCATGAGGGAGTTCAAAGTTGTCGTTTTGGGTAGTGGAGGTGTCGGAAAGTCGGCGTTGACGGTTCAATTCGTCAGCAGCACCTTCATCGAAAAGTATGATCCGACGATCGAGGATTTTTATCGAAAAGAAATCGAGGTAATTTTTCTAATTGTAGAAGATTTGAAAGTCTATTCCTTCAGGTCGACGGCCAACCATCAGTACTGGAAATTTTGGACACAGCCGGAACAGAACAATTCTCATCGATGAGGGATCTGTACATCAAAAACGGACAGGGATTCGTCGTGGTTTATTCGATTACGAGTCAACAGACATTCCACGATATTCGGAATATGAAGGAGCAGATTGTCAGAGTCAAGGTGAATATGATTGAAAATTATTGGAATCGAATTTTTTTTCGATTTTAAGGGATCCGAAAACGTTCCAATTCTGCTGGTGGGAAACAAATGTGATCTTTCACACCAAAGACAAGTCAGAAGTGAAGAAGGATTGGCTTTGGGTAAGTTTTTTAAATTATCGGAAACAAGAAAAACAACAAAAAAAATTTACATCCTGACAAGTTAACCTGAACAACTTATATACCCGGATTTTGAAAAAAAATTCGGAATATGTTTAAAATATCCTCTAGACACTTTTGAGAATTTTAGAATCCGTTCGCCAGTTTCATATCAGTTTCAGTACCAAAAATCGCGTTTTCAGGGCAAAAACTGCGATTTTCAACGACGATTTTCTCAGCTTTTAGAGCGTTTCAGAACATAAAAGTTCTCTGTTATGCTTTGAACAGTTCAAAAATTATCTGAAATATGATAATTCGTTTTAGGAGTTGAGAAATTTCTCTGTGAAAATCGCTGTTTTTGCACTGAAAACGCGATTTTTGGAACTGAAAATTTCAGTCTGAAACTGCTTTAACTCGGCTGAAACTGGCGAGCGAATTCAAAAACTTTTCAAAGTGTCTAGATAGGCTATTCTTAGCCTATTCTGTAATTCTCATCAAAATCTGGGTTTTCAAGGTGTTGACGTTCCACTGAGGAAGTTGCTGTCGTTTTGTAAATCTAGCTCTTCAAAATCGTAATTTGGAAATTTTCTCAATTTTTCTATTACTTTCAGCCGAAAGTTGGTCATGTCCATTCACCGAATGCTCCGCCAAAAACAACCAAAACGTCAACGTAACATTCGCCGAGATAGTGCGCGAAATGAATTATGTGCAGAGCAGATCAAGACAAAGCAAAACATGTTGTACCCTGATGTGATCGCCCGTGTTCCCCTTCCCACTTCCATTTGTTTCTCCCTGTTCATGATCTTTAACCTAATCGTCGTAATATTTATCGATTCGTTGGAATGCGCTTTCAATTTGCTCATTTTCTATCCTTCCTCCACATGTACAGCACCACGGTCGTTTTTAAATACTGTTTTCTTTTTGGTAACGCCTTCCGTCTGGAAGACAACTTCAATTTGTAGTTTTTTACGGGCTTGCTTTTTCTCTTCCTTCTTATGTTGACCTTTTTCTTTTTCTGATGATTTGACTTGCATGACTTTTTTTTTTAAATCTTCCATTCAAGTTTCATGTGCTATTATGAATTTCAAAACATTATTTTATTTATCACAATTTTCATCAAGACCATCTATTTAAATAATTTAGGAGAACAATCGAGACATTTAGTGGAGCAAGAAGAAGGAGATCGCCGGAATAGAAATGGAGAGAAGAGCAGCGAACGTGGTTGTAGTGGAGTTACAGTAGTCGCCGTTGCAGGTGTAGCACTGTCCGGTTCCACCTTGAGCTTGGCATTGGGTCTGAAACAAATTATTTAAGGTTTCAACAAATTTTTTCGAATTACCATAAGTTGTGTGCAAGCGACCTGTGGGTTTCCTGGGTCATTGCAACCCTTGGTGGTCTGCTTGACTGAAAATTAGAAGAAGTTTAAAATTTGCAGTTTTTTTTTTCAAAAACTTACACTTCTTTGGGTTGTTAACCCGGCAGTCGAACTTCATGCAGGTGTAGATGTTTCCTGGACAGACCTGGGTGAAGACACTTGGAATGCTGTTCTGCACGAAGCAGGTGGTGGATTCTGGAATTTAGGTTACCGGAAAATTTTAAATTTCGGGTAGTTTTCATTTTTTTTCCATCTGAAACTTCGCCAAAGCAGTTCGAAAACTTTGAAATCACAGAAGAAAGAAAACAAGTTGTTTAAATATTCATAATCTTCTTTCGGTCTATTTCTCAAGGTCTTATTCAACTGATTCTATTCAACTTAGACTTACCAGTGGCTTGAATCCAGAGAGCGAGAATAGCGATCACAAGAAGAAACTTCATTGTATTCGTATGCAGAATAACAAAGAAGACAAAAAACGCGAGCGTTTGGGAAGAGAAAAAAGAGGAGAATGAAAGCTCTCGGGCGGACCAGCCGAGTCGTTTCGGAATGGTTTCCAATGGTTTCGAGACTTGTGTATTTCAAGTTTCTAGGAGACAGAGTCAAAGCACTCAGGCGCTTCTCGACTTCTCGATATTTTTGTGTGCTTTGTGACTACATTTCGCGATGCTTTCTTCTTTTTTGTATAAACGAAATGTATAGCGAAAGGTGCGTCGCCCGGGGAGAAGCTTCTTCTCGAGAAGGCGTCGAAAGTGGGAAAAATAGGAAGAACTCACAGACACAATTCGAGTTGTGTCTGGAAGTTTGGGAGTACCGAAACAAAAGAATATATTATGGTGTGATCATTGTGCTCATCATGGGAATGTGATTGTTTGAAATAGATCTATCACAACACACAGAATATTTAAGACGAATTTCATAAAGAAGATAAGATTGTGATCATGACACTAGTGTCATGAACACAAAATTCAGATTTCAGGACCTTTTAATCAGTCAATTTTGGAATGCGACTTTGATTTCAAGTTGACTTGACTGGAATTATGAAACAGAATGATCCTGAATAATTATAATACTTCATGATTCTGAACGTCTCGATCTCGATTCTGGAAAACATATCTGCTTATGACCACAATCATCAAAAAATTGAAGCTTAGGCTTTAAAAATTTTTCTCTTGAAGATCATCACAATTTCATAATGTTTCGTACTCTATAAAATAGAACTCGATTGCATTTATTAAAATAATTCGCTAAAGTTTCCTCTAAATAGTGCATTTTTCAGCGGCTGTGTTTGCGGTGCCCGCGCGCGAAACCTCTTCGTTTGAACGGAAAATGCGGTAAACCTGTGCGAATTTAGGCCGATTGTGCAACCATTTTCTTGTCTATTTCACACTTTTGTATCAGTTTTTGAAAAATAGAAACTTGTGAACGCTTTATCGCTTTTGATTCCTATGATTATCTGAATAAATTCTCTGATTCTCTCTAGTTTCAAAAATCTGCAATTTTTACAGGGAAATGGACGGGCAAAACGATGGAATGTTCATCGACCGAGCTGAAGATGCTCGCAAGCAGGAAATCACTGAGCAATACCTCAATTTCCTCGACAATCAGTCTGATACACACCACTATCGGCAAAAGATTGTAAAGATGATGAACGACGGAGAAAGTCGTTTGGTGATGAATCTTGATGAGATCAGAGAAGTGATGCCAGAGAGAGCCGAAGGGTAATTAGATAGTCGAGAGGAATAGTTGTAATACAGCTTAATTTCAGACTTCTGACTCAAAGTGTTCTCGAGATGAATTGTCTTCAATCTGCTCTTGAGATGGCTATCAACCGAAGTGACGTTCAAGCTATTGTCAAAACGTAAGAATCACGAATTCAGCTTTCCGAAAATTCTATTTTATTACAGAGGATTCCATGTCGGGTTCGAAGGAACTTTCGGAGAGCGTCACGTGAATCCTCGAACCCTGAAGTCCTCGTATCTTGGGAACCTCGTCTGCTGCGAAGGAATCGTCACTAAATGCTCTACCGTCCGTCAAAAACTTCTCACATCTGTTCACTACTGTCCAGCAACTAATAAGGTGCTCGAGAAGAAATTCGCTGACTTTACGATGCTTGACACTGTTGTGACCAACAATGCCTATCCAACGGAAGATGAGAACAAGAATCCGTTGGAGACCGAATTCGGACATTCCGTTTACAAGGATCATCAAACATTCACCATCCAAGAACTCCCAGAGTCAGCACCAGCTGGACAATTGCCACGTGCCGTGGATTGTGTTGCTGATCTTGATTTGGCCGATCGTGTGAAACCAGGAGATCGTGTTCGCATCATTGGAATCTTCCGTGTATTGCCGAACAAGCAAAATGGAGTTTCCTCGGGATCATTCCGGTCCATCATTATTCTCAACCACATTCAAATGTTGTCAAAAGAAGTGATTCCAAACTTTGAGCCTCAGGATGTGAGGGATGTTCGTAAGATTTCAAAGTCAAGAGACCCATTCGACCTTCTTGCTAGTTCATTGGCTCCTTCAATCTGTGGCCACGAGGAGACGAAGAAGGCGCTGTTGTGCCTTCTACTCGGTGGAATGGAGAAGATTCTGAACAACGGATCACGCTTGAGAGGAGACATCAACGTTCTTCTTATTGGAGATCCATCAGTTGCCAAGTCTCAACTTCTTCGCTATGTTCTTCGTATGGCACCAAGAGCAATCACCACCACTGGACGTGGATCATCAGGAGTCGGTCTTACCGCTGCAGTGACCACCGATCCAGATTCCGGAGAGCGTCGTCTCGAAGCTGGAGCTATGGTTCTCGCTGATCGTGGTGTTGTCTGTATCGACGAATTCGATAAAATGTCTGACATCGACAGAACTGCCATTCACGAAGTCATGGAGCAAGGCCGTGTCACTATTTCCAAGGCTGGAATTCATGCAAAACTTAATGCTCGTTGCTCTGTTCTTGCCGCTGCGAACCCTGTATATGGCCGCTACAATCCATTCAAATCTCCAATGGAGAACATCGGAATGCAAGACTCCCTGCTCTCACGTTTCGATCTTATTTTTGTTCTTCTCGATGAACATGATGCTGATAGGGATGCTGATGTTGCTGGACATGTTCTCAAACTTCACACGTACAGAACTCAAGGAGAAGCAGATGGAACTGTTCTTCCAATGGGTGGAGGTGTTGAAACGATCAGTACTGTGAATATGGAGACTAAGAAGGCCAGCAGTTCAATCTATGAGGAGAACACTCAATGGGCCGGCATTCAGAAGTAAGTTAAATTTTTCATTTAGAAATAACGATTATGTTTTCCAGCAAGAAGATTCTGACAATGGAGTTTATGAGAAAATACATTCACCTCGCTAGAGCTGTTCAACCAAAGCTCACTGATGAAACTACCGAGTACATTTCTGAAGTCTATGCCGACATTCGTTCATTCGATATCACCAAAACCGATCAAGAAAGAACTATGCCTGTTACTGCTCGTCAATTGGAAACGTTAATTCGTTTATCGACTGCCATCGCCAAAGCCAGATTCTCGAAGAAGGTTGAGAGAGAAGATGCAGAGAAGGCCTACAATCTCCTTCATTTCGCTTGCTTCAAAGAGAAGCCAAAGGCTCGTCAAGAGTATGAAAAGAAGAAGCGAGTTCCACGTCACGAGGGTGAGGATGAGGATGAGCAATCCGACGATGAGCCAGAAGAGATGAATGACGAGCCAGGATCAAGCTCCGTGCCAACCGCTGCCACTCCACGTCGTGGAGTCAGAAGACGTGCCGCTGATGACGATAGCCAATCGTCGATGAACGACACAACTGTCACTGAAAGTCAGCCAACAGCCAAGAGAGCTCGCACTGGTCCAGCTGCGATTGGAATCGATCGCTATAAGGAGTTGAAGAAATACGTCCGTAAGGCGTTCGACGACATCGGAAGCACTGATGACATGGTTGATCTTCACATCATCACTGATAGTGAGTTCAATATTTTTCGATTTTCATTTACTAAATTATTTTTTTTCAGGTATTCAAACACAAGCTGGGTCGAACAAGTTCACAGATGATGAACTGACGGCAGGTTACGAACAACTCGAGAACGATAATGCTGCAATGATTGCTGACGACAAGATCACTCTCATCTAAATATTCTTCCATCTTAACATATCCCGATTTTGTTTCGATCTCTCCATAAATGCATCCATTTTTATCTTCCCCTTGTTGGGTCCCTAATCCACTGATTGCACTCACTTATCACCCAATCACCCTTTTCACTTTGATATTGTACTATATATTCATTTTTTCAGTTTTCATCACTATTTCAATTATCACTCTTTTATCATTTCTTTATCAATTGCGCAATACGGAATAAACAAAAAAAAAAGAGTGCACTTGATCATTGTTGAGCTGTGGAGACTGTCTGTACTCCAGTCGACATCCTGAGCCGTCTGCCACGTCGACTCGCCTTCTCTTGTCGGTACTCGATCCCAAGACATCCGATGCGCTGTTGACCAACCAACGACGTCGTGTTCGCCAGAACTCCCTTGCATCGTTCGGTATCCGGGAAGGCGAACGGCTTCAGCTCAATCTGAACGTGGATTTCCTGCAAGAAAGGGATTCTATGGAGCCAAAAAATGTGGAAACTGACTCCATTTTTCTTGGATAAAATCATATTTGCTTCACTGATATCTCTGACTTTGATTCCTTTCAAAGCATCGATTATTTTCTTTTCAATCGTTGAAATTTCTTGCCAATTCACACGAGTTTCGATTTGTGGGAGACCAGAAGAGGATGTCATTTTATGTGTGTAGAAATGACGAGATAGATTCAAATTGTTCATTTTCGTGGCAACGAAATACCCGTAGATGAGAAACCAATCAAAAGGAACAATAATTATATCAAGAAATAGAAAAAAATCAACAATTTGCGTTAGTCCTGTGTAGTGCGGTGACTCGAAAAGGGGAAGAACTAGCAGGCACAATCCAATCAACTTCGCAAATTATTAGATTCCTAGATTCTATTAATTTATCAATATCGTAAATTGAATTCCTATCAAACACATTCAAATCGTTTCCATTTGGAAATAGTGCACCAGCAATCGCAATTGTTCCCATCAGCTCCACGTTTCGAACGATTACTGTAATGGAGTTCGGTGTTGGTCCAGGGGTCGATTGAATCAAAGAATTTGGGGAACACAATTCCAGAATCGAGTGCTGGAATATATTAGATTTCAACTAGGCATGGAGTTGTACAATCAGTAAACTTTCCTCTAAATTTGAACGAATGATCTAATAATGAGAAAATTATCATGCTTCTTATTTTACCTCCCATAGTACAGGGAGGCGCATAATTACCCGGGCAAAAGTTTGGACTAGTATAAAACTTGAATAAAACGTTGTACTGGTCTAAAATTTGGAGTACGAAAATATCAATTATCCATCAGTAAACGAGCCAAGTTTCAAATTATTCGATTAACTTTGAGCTGAGCTATCGTTTGTCAAAGTTGCCTCATCTCATGAAAAGCACGATGCATAAAACGTTACTTTGTTAATCTTCAAATAGAAAATCATAACAATACCTAGACTTGAGGAATCGCTTTGAAAATTTCAGTAGCTTTGAATCAGACCTAAATTTTTTTTTCTACCAATTTTCGTATTTCCAAGAAAGAAACACTCGTTTTTATCATTACAAACCTTTTCAAATCGTTTCATGAACACAATATTATCTTTGTACATGGTGGCATCAGCAATAATGAATTGCGAATACGGGAACAAATTCAGGTTCCCAGAAAATTGAGGTTGCGAAGATGTGATGACAACAAACTTAATCTTCTTCGCAGGAGCACCATAAGATGCCAAATCTGAAAAGGCACTATTATTTTGATTCTTACCGAGTTTATTTTAATAGAATCCTACCCAACGCCTTAACTTTGAGCCCGTATATCTCGGTTCCTGTAAAAGATATCAAAAAGTAGTCAACCGATAAAATTTCACTGCTATTATGATAAACATTTTATCAGTTGACCACTTTTTCATATCTTTCACAGGAAATGAGCTACATGGGCTCAAGGTTGACAGTCTGGGTTTGCTTCTATCAGATGAAATACGATATTTCAAAAGCAATAAAAACTCACTCTTTATAATTTGTTTCTTCTGTGCCGGAAGCCCTGTATCCACTACAAAAACGCATGAACCATCTCGAACCAAAACAGAATTGGTGCTCAGTTTCAATGAGTTTGAATAGTTTCCACGACTTAAAGATGGAATTGTGAGCATTTGAAGGACGACGTTAGATTTCTGAAAAAATCAAAATTTAAGAAATCTCTAAAGAAAGTAGTTAACCTTAATTGATTGTCGTTTTCTCGTGGTTGTGAATGTCGTCGTAGTTGTTTTGGGTGTTGTCAGAACAACTTGATTTTTGAAAGTTGGATCACTTTCTAGTTGCTCTAAAAAATCAAGTTTACTTACGGTAAAACCTGTAATAGAAGAGCTCCCGATTTTGTAACGTTGAGCCAATTTTTCTAGATTCCTGTGAAATATACAAAAAGTTGTCAATTGATAAACTGTTTATCGTAACATTAGAAGTGTTTTGTCAGTTGACACATTTATAATATCTAGCATAGGAATTGAGATAATTTCGCTCAAACTTGAAAGTGTGGGGCTCTTCTATTAGAGGTTTCACCGTAATTACCTTTGGAACTTCTTACAAGCACACTGTAATCATAGTGGGATTGTCTTGGATAGAAACTATAATTATCTGGAAACAACGGCTTATTCTGACTTCCAACCAAATCAACAAGTAACTCTGGTGTTCCACAACAGACATAATCTTGTCCGTCTGGTTGACAAAAGCTCATTTGTCCACCAGTTTGGAGAATGCAAGGATCTGGATGACCCTGGAATACAGATTTCAGAACTATAAAGAAAAAAGGCAAGATTTACAGGTAGCGTCGGAACACATCTCATCAGTTGGAGGGTGTCTTTGTGTCGAAGTTGAGTGAGTCCCTTGTCGCAGGAGTCGACAAGGGATATGATGAATATTGGTAGTAAATAGGATCGGTTTCGCATCTGAAACAATATTTTAAGGTTCTTCAGACCCAATAAAAGAAAAACTCAGGAAGTGATAATGTGGAAGAAATGACAGAAAAAGTGTGATACGGGAAATAAGATAACAAGATTGAAGTGGGCACTACCTTCAGGTAGAAAAGAGATATGCGCGGCGGAGAGCCGATCGGGTATGCGCATCCCACCACCGGAAGTGTTGAGGATGACCAAACACACTTTCATTTCGATACAATCTCGCAAGAAAAAAATCTGGACAAAATCGGAAAAAGGAGAATAGGAGGGTATTGGGGGAATGAAAAGGACGGAGACAATGAATGGGGAAGGTTCAGGAATATCCAAAGAAGGGGTCAAGATGTACCTGATCCTTATTATCTCATTTTCTATAAACGATGACAAAAAATTGTTTACTAGAAAAAAAATATTTGTCAGAACACCATACTTTTTTTAATAGAACCTTCCGAAGCCGTCAACGTTGAACTTAATTATCTCGATTTCTGTGAAAGATACCAAACAGTAGGTGGATTTCTATTATAGGAAATACGGTGATTAGGGTAAAGTGACGGTAGAATAAATAAGAAAATGGACGGTTCATTAAAAAATCAGGATCTGGATCTTTTAGAATTTGGAATTCGTTTTCCGACAATTCTTCTGTAAATACCGTAAAAACTCTAACAGAACGCCACCAAATCATCAGCTCTGAGCCTTCATATCGCATCAGGTTTTACGGCATGGATGATGTTATGAAAAAGTAGGATACTTTAGAGGACTTTTTTCGAAAATAATAGATTCAAGAAAGTTTAATGAGATCTGTAAATTCTCAAAGCTAACTTCAAATAGTAATAAGTTGTCTGCCGTATGTTCATCTTCCATGGAAAACCGAACCGTATTGTGTTGTATTACCCACCTCCAGAGCATGGTCTCTTCTCGTGCGCGCACACAATTTTTTCCCGCGTATATTCATCCGCCTAAAACTTCTTCGAAGATGATCTTTGCCGTGTCTATGTATCCAGGATCGCCACTCTTTCGGGGGTAAACCGATATCCCTGGTTTCTGTGTGGCGGACACTGTCAAGAGTAAACAACGTGGAGCAAGGCCAGATCTGAAGAATTGGATGCGGAATGAAAAAAGTAGTTGGAGACGCACGCATGATTATGAGAAAGAAAGTGCAGCTGGCCAGGAAAAAACTGATTGCAATTCGAGAATGCAGGTTCAATTCTAACATACAGTATAGTTCCAATTTTTGGGAATTGGAAGAGGATATTTGAACAAAAAACTGGTACTTCAGAAGAGAGTTTGTCTGGTTTTCAGGAGATGCACTCAATTACTCGGACTGATAAAAACGGGTATATCTTTAGACAGAAGTATCCTGGAAGCACGAAAATTGGTAGAAATCAAGGCTGTGCCACGGCCGGCCGCGGCTTTCTGAAAAGGGCACTTCTGAGATAAGTAGGGTACGGCGGCCTGGCGGCCCTATTAATTTCTGGATAGCTGAGCTTATTGTCAAAAGGACGGCCGGATTGGTCCACGGCAACCTACCCACGGCCTCGGCCGCGGCTGGCCGCTGCCGCGTTTTGCACAGCCTTACAATTAGTAGAAATATAATTTTACGTTCGATTCAAAGCTACTAAAATTTTCAAAGGGATTCCTCAAGTCTAGTTATTGTTATGTTTGTCCAAAGACGAACGGCGTAATATTTCTTGAACTTCGTTGGAATTTTCATGAAATGAAGCAACTTTGACGAGCGATAGCTTAGCTCGAAATTGATCAAATTACTTGAAACTTAGTAAGATTACTGATGAATGATTAGATTTTTGGCGTTCTAAATTTGAGCCCACTACAACGATTTGCTTGAATGTTATGCTAGTACAAACTTTAGATATGCTATTACAAACTTTAGACGATTCCGAAATAGATCTACAACAACCCTTGCCTACCCAATTCATCCTGATGTACTCGCTTCTAATGAGCAATGTTTTCCTTCGAATTAATCTCCCCAACCAGAATGAAATCGGCTTCAACCCACACTGCGCATATCTTGTCTCGTATTGGTACTAATACGTTTGCACCACATGGTTGTTGTGCTAGGAACGTAAGGAGGAGAGAAGGCACCACACGTAAGTGGGCAAGTGTGTCCCAAAAGTCAAGGCCACATAGGCAGTTGTGGGCAGATAAACCGGGGAAGAAACGAACATTAGTGCCATGAAAAAAAAATCGATAACATATTAATTTGATGGAACTGAGTTGATGATTTTTTGATAATTGTAGTCGTTAATCACATTTTCCAGCATCATCAAAAGCCTTATTCATAGCCTATTCACTTCAACCCCTCAAATAATATCACAATTCGATAAATCCATCCAGCACAGGTTCTAATTAGAAGCTCAGGCTTCCATCCACTACAGATAATTACTATTACCTTATCCTTTTAGAATTCTGATGGCTAATCCTGGAGCGACCCGTGCTGCACCCTTTTAGCCGGTCCGTTGCTACCGCAAGATCTGCGCACGTTACACTCGCAGAATAGACCTGATTGGTCCGCCTCCTCTCTCCCACGATTGGTCCGTTGCCACGTAAGATTTGCCCCAAGTGGTCTCTGTCGACGCATTCGTGGAGAGAAGGCGTCGTGTGATGGCATGTGTTCATCTCGTTTTCTTAAAACTCTCTCTCTCTCTCTCTCTCTCTCTCTCTCTCTCTCTCTCTCTCATTTTCTGGAAAACTCTCGAATTCTGAAAGCTTGAAAAAATTTGAAATCCCCTGGTGCTCTCAATCAAAAGACGTTCGAGATTTCAGTTACTGTTCTATCTATCTGATTCCTGTAATTTTTGAATATCGAATTTCCCAAATTTCAAGAATTTTATATTTTCGGAAAAGGTACAACGTTTTGAAAACTCAGAGAATACAATATTCTGAGTCCATAAGTTGAAATTGAAACCAAATCTTCCCGATTTTGCTTCCAGGATGCTAAATTTTCTTATCTGTGCATTATTTTTTCCTAGCCAGATGAATTTATCTGGAAAAGGACGAATTTCAGTTCTTATGCACCCAAATTCTTTTTCTTGTCATTCTTCCACACCAATATTATAGGCTGGCTTAAAATCTTCTGTATCCAATCTCCAAATTTTTTGAATCTGACGTCTGCGTGCGCGTCAAGACTACGGTAATAAATTGCGGACTTGGTGCAACCAAACAGCGTCGTGAGAATAAATTTCAGATGGTTTTGAGTTTTTTTCTTCATTACGGTCCAATTACTACTCTTTTATACTTTTGTCATAATTATTCGCTATTGGCTTGAATACGAAAGTTCTAGCCAATTCTTAAAACTTCAGCCGCCGTTTGTACGCTTTTCGGCAACCACGCCGTTCCTATGTCCAGAAAATACAAGAATTTAGAAACTATCGAGCGAGCACCAAGAAGGCATCCAGTTTTCCATTTTTCTTTAAACATCCAAGGCTTGGTACTCACAATGAAGATGTTCGGATTTTCATAAATTTTTGGATTTCCTAAATTAAAACTACCCCAAATTTCCATACATTTTTGCCAGCAATTATCTTAATCATGAATTAAGAATCTTGATTTTTTTCATAGCCTGAATTTTTTATCTAGCTATGAAGACGAATTCAAGTTCTGATGCACCCTAACTCCTTTCCTTGTCCTTCTCTTGGCGCCTGATGTTCTGCGTTTCCAATCTCTCTACGCACTTTCTTTTTAATTCGGCGTCTCTTCTCCCTCTTCTCACAAAAATGTTGCTTTTCTCAAAATCATTTTCTTTTTGAAAACTGACCAAAGTTTCTACTGTTTCAGAGTACAGAAGAAGAGCAAAAAGACTTTTCGGATTCGTTCCCAGGGGACTCCCCAATTTCATAATTACTCCCCAATTGCATTTAACCACCAATCAGTAAGTTTTTTTGAATTTCAAAATAATAGCTCCTCCCCCTTTTGAAAACTATACTTCTCAACGATTCGATTCCGGTCCGGGAACATAACTCGCTCTGAAACTGAAATTTTGAGTAAAACCTCGTATCAAACGATAGACCTCGGAAAGTTATACAACCTCCAATTAGAATCAACCAACTTCAAAACGGTGTTATGGTCCAGACCGACGATAATTGCACGACCCGTCTATTAAATGCCGGCTGGTCGATTCTTACAGCGGGTTTTAGGGCTCGCCGAGCTCTGTCATTTAATGTGTTGTTTTGTCCATAATTTTTAATTTGAAAGCGACTTGTTCGGTGCCGGCGCGGAATTGACCCGCCGATAAGTATGCTGGAACCAGATTTCTGTAAACCAATTTCATCCAAACTGTTTTTTTTTCAGAAATGTCGACATCCCAAGCAAAAGATGTCCAACCATCTGTTCCAGCTCCAGAACAAATTCGACGAGATGCAACCAGTATCTTGTTGTCCATATTAACACCAGAACAACATGCAACGTTATTGGCAGAACTGCAACAAAAATCCCAAGCGACTCTGACACTGGAACAAGTTATGCAATCGTTAAGCGGTCCAGTTGAGCTAGCTACTCAACAAAAAGAACCTTCACAAGTTGAACCACCCCGTGCTGTGACTCCAGTTGAACCGAGTGTCTCCTCAGCTGATGCATCAGAATCTCCTGTCGAAAGTGGTGAATCTCCTGGATCCCGTGAACGATCCCGTACTCCATCAGAGGCATCGGACGCTGACCCAGTGGAATATGTTCCCACCAGCAAAAATAATTCTCCAATGAAAATTGTAGACAAATCGATGGAACGCTTGTCGACCAAAGAACATAATCACGATTTAAGTAAATATCAAGTTTCTGATGTGTCGTTTGACAAGTTTTCTAAATGGAAGCAGTCCGAAAAAAAATGTCGTTCCCGAAAGCGAAAAGTCAAAGAAGCAAAACAACCGGTGCCAGAAACGACAGAAGAGGTTGTCCAGGAACTATGCCAGACAGTGAAGGATCTGGATACCGATAGGAACGAGCAAAACAAACCCAAAAATCAAAATATATTTTCTTTTGATCAGGACCTTCACATCGAGATGGATGATCCAGAAGATGAAGAGATAGAACAGGAGGAAGGGGAAAGGCAACAGGCAGAGACTCATCGCGAACCTGACGAAATGGATCAAGAAGAAGAAAGTGATGATGAAGCTGTGGAGAGAATGGTGAATAAATGCTCATGGATTCAAAAGATGTCGCTTCAGGCAGAGGAAGAAAGATGGAAATCTATGCCAGATCCTGAACTTGCAGAAGGTTCCAGCAGTCAAGAACCTGAACCTATCAAAGAAACTGAAGCATCCTATGACCCGGATGATCCATTTAGTGTTGGTTATCCAGGAACAATTCAAGCGTCCGAAATACCTGGTTTGGCCGAATTTATTGACAAAGTTAATAAAGATCCTCCTCCAATTAAACCACCTGTAGAAGAAAAAGAAGAAGATGATGATGACGTACCATGGTGGCGTAAGGGATCAGATGGGACGGACTCGGATGAGAGTGATTCGGAGGGTTCTATTGATTTCAAATCACCGCCTCCACGTTTTCGTGAAGCTGAAACATGCATGGATCCATGGAACCATTATCCACCTAAAGAATCAGACTTCCACAATTATGTATATGTGCCTCCAGAAGGTTCATTGAACATAGGAAGGAGACTAAGAAAAGATGTTCCCAAATATGGCCTTTATGATTATGAAGCGAATAAAGCATATTACGATTCGAAAGATCCATGCATAAACCGACCAGAAGGCGAGTTGCTTGAGGAAATTAAAAAAGTCGAAATTAATTTTTTTTCAGGTTTGACCGATGAATTGTACCGCGACTTATGGTTCTCTTACTGTGGTTACAAATCAATCAAGCCAGATCCGAGTAAGTTTAAAATTATTTTTTTTTGATAGCTAAATGATAGTAAGTGAGGGGGAGTTATAATATGCATTCTGACGTAACGAGGGAAAATAATATTCACTGACTTCACTGACTAATAAATTACTGACTAATAATATGACTATTTGAGATTTTTGTCAGAAACATTGCTCTAGTCCCGAACGGACTATGGGCGGATGAACAGCGGCTGAGTGGAAACGGGCGTGCGACTGGCGGGGGACTGGCGGACGCCTGTTTTCAGTTTGCAGAGAATATCAAAGCTTCGGGAAGAGCAGATCCGATGCCCAATTTTTCCAAAAAAAAAGACTGAATGTCGACCGGCCGCATTCTCGACCGCGATTGGTTTTCTGTTTAGACTCTCATCGCCCGCTGGCTCTCGCCGCTTTACTTGTGTAGCCTCGACCGCGCGGCTTAGTCGGTAGCGATTCCGAACCTTCAAAACTCATCTCACAACTTCAACTCCTCTTAAGGCTTATATGAGCAAAATTTCGAGATAGTTATTGTTTCATGTCACCGCCTTCAAGTCTCTCTAACTCCCCCACAACAATCATTTTTACAGATAAGGATCACACACCCGATTATTTTGTGCCGGCAAAGAAAGATCATGATACTATATACGATAAGTGTCGAAAGGTATAAAACTCATCCGCAGAGAGAGAAATATTCACGCGAGATGGGTGATGGCGGAACCACGCAGAATCCCAGGATGGAATTACCCGAAATTTGACCCTGAGGAGTTGGAACGGAAGATTCAAGCATGGGAAGAAAGGCGACACTATGCGACGGATGATGAGGAGAGAGAAGACCCAATTGATTATTCTACCATGACTATCAAATACTGTTATGATGGAGAAGAATGTAGTGAGGAGGTTTTCAATGAGAAGGAAAGACTTTTAAAAGAGAAACTCGAAAGGATCCGAAATGGAACTCAACCTGAACCAGAGAGAGTTCAGATTAAGATGAGAGAGAAGCAAGAAGCGGATCGGAAATCGTTGGAGAAAAAGAAAAAGGCAGAGGAGAAAAAAGCTGCAGCTAAGAAGAGAGGACGAAAACCAAAAACACGTTCAGATGCCGTTGATCCTGAGGATGAACCTGTGGAAATAATTAGACCTATGGAATTAACTACGGCTAACCTTGCGGCCTTTCTTGGAAAGGATCTCGAGAAAATGAAGCAAAATAAAGCAAAACGACAGAAAGTTATTGATCTTGAAAAACCAATCGTTGTAGTAGATCTAGAACCGGAACCGGCAGTAGTCACACTGGATGATGAAATGCCTGATGAGTTGATTATCTCTCCAGATGAATTATGTGTGGTCGGTGAGGTTATTACTCGATCTGATGGAATTGAAAGTAAGTGTTCAAGAAGCTTTTTCGAGATCTATTTTCTTTTTTTCAGTTCTAGAAAATGTTCCTACTCCAATGGAACCAGAATTGACTGAAATGGATGTTCCACCAGCGGTAGCTTTCGAAGAAATTCAACACGAAGAAGAAGAATACCATATTGATTCGGAGGAAATGTTCCACGTGGAACAACCAACTCTGGAGGAGACTGAAGATGGTGTTCCAGCAATTCCAATTGAAAATCCAACTGAGCAATTAGAAGACTTCAATGAATCCATCTTGAAATCCCCAGAATCAGAACAAAGTGTTAGTCCAGCACCTGTCAGAGAAATCAGTCCAGACACCGAAATGCATCTTTTGGGAACACAAGCACTGATTCATGATGAAGGTAGGAGTGCTAGATGAAAACATTTAAAAAAAAACATAACTTTCCAGAATTTGCTGCCCCAACTGTTGGCAGACCAGCTCCGGACATTCTGAAAGAGCTTGATACAGATTTTGATATTCCAGTGGAAACAGAAACAGTGCAGGAGCCCGTATCGTTCTCTCCAGCTTCAGAATTCGAGAAATCACCATCCCCATCTACTCTTCTTGATGCCATCGAATCGACCGATTATGCAGTGTCTCCAGAACTAGAACTTGCCTCTTCGCCTCTCAATATTCTTGAAAAATCTCCTTCTCTATCTGCTCTGCTCGATGAAGACCTGCTCAACGAAAAACCACAAGCAGGAATTCTGGCAAAGGAGTACACAGTTGATGAGCTGCTTGGAGAATATGGAGAATTAAATGAAGTCGTTGATACTGTAACGGCTGATATTGAGCATGAACTTTTGGATGATCTATTAGAGGAGCCAGCTGATGATACGCCGAAGCAGGCTGAGGAGCCGATGGAACCAGAGGTTGCTGCTTTTGAAACGATAGAAAATGTAGCTGAGCCAGCCAAAATGGCACCCGAGAAGATTGCACGACCAATTGACATGCCTATGCAGGTTGAGGAGCCAATTCCAGAGTTTGCTGAACCACAGATTTCTGCTCCGGAAACAATCGCACCTCCTGTAAGTGAGGATGATCCAGTGGAGGAGCCAACTGGTGACAGGCCCACTGTAGACCCAATTGAACCAGTAATTGATGCTCCGGAAACAATTGAACCTGTGGCTGAGCCAGCCAAGAAGGCACCCAAGAAATGCGGACGACCAAAGAAGAGGGTTCCACCAAAGAGAGTTTTCAAAAAACCAGCTGTGGAGGTAGCAGCAGAGGCAGCACCGGAGGCGGAAGATGAAGAAGAAAAGGAGGAGATTACCGTAAGAACCACAAGAAGCAGAGCAGATGGATCAAAAGCAGCAATACCGGCAGAACCAGAAAAGAAGAAGAGAAAGCGACGCGGCGATTCTCCACCACCTCAACCATCCCAAGCAATTAGAGCTAAACGGTTGTATCTCTCGAAAAATAACCCAGTACCGATTATACGTGCCAAGGTGCCTGAGGAAGAATCAACACCTGCGACACCAATTAGACAGACTGGAGTTCTTGGAAAGGAGAAACCGACAGAGGAAGAAGAAACGGATATGATGAAGCAACTGCCTGCCGCTCTTCAACACTTGATGCAAGATGAGGATATTGAGAATCAAGATGAGGATTATGACGGAGGCGAAGCTATTAAATCAGAATTGGTAGACGAATGCTGGGTCGCTCCAGCCCCAGTCAAACCGGGATACAGAAAGTCAAGAAAGCGACAACGTGCAGAGCAAACTCAAAGAGTTATCGAAGGAATCAAACGAGAAGTCACTGTGGATCCAGAAGTTGAAGTCACGAAGACACTCATCCGGGAAGTTAAAACAGAAGTTGACACTGATATTCTTGTATTGCAAGCGACTTACAACATTTCTGATAGTCTCGCCGAACTGGAACCAGAGATGGCTCCAGTGAAATTCATCGATCCTAATGGAGAAAAGAATCCCACACATAAATACTTGGTAACCAAGAAATTATGGGAAGGAGCTAACCAAGTGTTCCTTAGTGATCCGAAGAAGTTCTCGCAGCTCGTAATGCTTCTGAATTCAGATGTTCAGAAGAAAGGACGTGTTTTCAGTAAGTCTTTAGAATTTTTTAGTCGATTTCCAACAACAAATGATTTTTCAGATTTTTCGGTGTTGGTTGAAGATAGAACTAGTGAATTTGAGCCTGCATTAATCGATTATTTGTCAAAAAGCCCCAGAACTATGACAGCAGAGCAACAATCGTGTCTTAACTACATGCAATTCTCGAAGACCTTCCGTAGTAAAGCGTCCATCCGACTCAATGATTGCGTGAGTACTTCGAATGATTCCTGCCAGAATTTCATAATTTTTTTCAGCGAGTAACTGCTGTAACTCTTCATCCACTGTTGGAAAAGATTTCTGAAATCAAGAAAGAGATTATGAATAATACACCGTCCGGACTGATCGGAGAAGGAGAACGGGATACTCTGGTTGCCACTGAGACTCTTCTTTCCGGGCAATTTATTGAGAGTTGCATGAAAATGGCCAGTCTCTCACAGGTTGCATGGGCAACAGAAGCTCATCTCAAACGACGATTGGTAAGATTTTGAAAAAACCTTGGACCATACTTGTAAAACCGGTCTTCGCGGACTCTTCTTTCTTTTAGAATTAATACTTTTGCAACAACTAAATTAGACATGATAGAACTTGACGAGTGCTACAAAATAATGTTATTTTAAAAACTGTGCCTTGTCTATGAGTTATAAGCCATAAACTGGCTGATCCGGCTGGGCGCTGCCTGTTTCATTGGCCCGTTTGGTCTGTAACTTTGTTTATAGACAAGTTGCATTTTTCAAAAGTGTATCATTTTGTAGTACTCGTCGAGTTCTATCATATCTAGTTTAGTTGACCCGAAAACATTAATTCTAAAAAAATTATATCAGGACCTGGTTTTATAAATGTCTTGGACAAAAAATAATTCTGATTTTTTTTCAGGAAATGGTTATGGATGGCTGGACAATGTTCCTGCGTAATGGTGGATTTTTCCGTGTGCTTTTGGCACTTCAGAGAGGAGATGTGAAGCCAATTCGAGATGAATTCAGAACATATTGTATCGAATATCTGGCAGATATCGAGAAGAATTATGAAATAGCAAAGAAGTTTTTCGCGATGAATGATGAAGGCGCGATGGAGGCTCTTCGGGAAGAGACTAAGCTTACTGTAGAAGATATCGAAGCTTTAGACACTGATATTCGTGTGGAATCTAGTGAAAGGTATTTATATAATTTTTTTGGTAGTAGTACCCAGAACATTCCAATTTCAGCCACACCTTCAAATGCTCGACATGTTTCTGTCAAGGCCAGAATATCCACTTCTCGTCCAAACAACTTCTGAATCAACACGAAAAAATTCACAGTTCGGAAACTGAAGAATGTGGAAAGTGCTACGAAGACTTATCATCTTCTGACATGGCATTCCATCGAATCCTTCATCATGACTCAATGCGAGTGGAGGATATTTATTGATTTGTTTCCAGTGGTTTTTCTAGTAGAAGTCATAATTAATATCATCAGCTATTGTGTTTTTGTACCTTGTGATTATCTTTGTTATCACGCATTCCTTACTAAAAGATATCAAAAATTGCTTAATAAGCGTTCACTTACATGAGCAAATTTAGAAAAATTCTGAGATGAAGGCTAAACATGGCTCCCTTGTTAGCGTTCACTCTAATCTAATGACCAACCTAACGTTCAACTTTGAGCCAATATATTTCGGCTCCTGTAAAAGATATCAAAAAATGATCAGCTGACAAAATATTTTTGATAGTATAATAAACATTTTGTCAGTTTTTTTTTCACTTTTTGATATCGTTCACAGATAATGAGATACATGGGCTCAAAGTTACCGGTTTCCTATTGGTGTGTCCTTCCCTGAAAATCGTTTCCCCAAATGTATTGCTCCCAAAAACACTGATGACTTTTTTTTTGTAAAATAAAAAATGTATATAATGATAAATCGAAACATTTATTCTCTTTTAACACTCTCAGATTGCATCAATCACCGATTCTCGACCATCTTCTGATTTGACCTTCGCCTGAACAGCGGCAGATTCTACTAGAACTTCTGGAAGTTGAGAATCCCATTCGGGCAAAAGTGGCATATATTGTTTGCGAATGTCCGAATCGATTTTTGGGTCTCTGTTGATTCCACGACGATTTGAAGAAGATGAGCGGGAAGAGGAAATGCAGTGGACAAGGGTTGGGATCTAGAAATTGGGATATTCTTGAGGTGAAGTAGAATCGACTGCGTCGCTCACCAGAAGTGAAACACTGAATAAAACTAGGAGAAACATCCTTCAGAATATGTTACGAATGTTCATCTGGATTCCTCAATTTCTCTGTCGGCTGGAACTACCCGAAGTTCACGTTGAAACTCCCTTCCCCCCTCCTTCACCTAAATTTGTTGACTCCGCCCCCTTTACACACAAAACATAGTGGACGGCGGAACCCGGGAGATGTCGGGTGCTGTGTTACATGACCTTCGGGTTTGATATTGGTGTAATTGGATTTAATTAAATTTTTCGAGAGATGTTCGGAAGGGCATCGAAAATAATAAAGAATTTGACTTCCGCTCATTGTTTGGAGTTCATAGTATTCGGATTGTGAATTCTGAAAGGTGTGGAAGTCAGAACAGAAATAAGGGTTTTCAGTTAGATGCTCACCTCATGAAGAAATTTAGAATTGCGTGCCAACAACTCATTAGGAATGCTCACCTCCGGAAATTCGAATCATCTTTATTTCTCTCATCATTCCTTTTCCCTTCTTTTCTCCCATAACACTCTTCTACTAAAATGGCAGAAAACGCTTCGACTACTACTACTGCTCGCCGTGAAACTTTTGGTGGAATTGTATACAGAATCTATGTAAGTTTTCCTTAACACTTTCTTCAATTAGCCTACTCTAGGCATTCAAAGGATGGGTAGAACGAGCTCGAAAAAGGTTACGCCTGTTCCGAGAGGTTGATGTGGACGTTGAGTCGAATTTTAGAACAGCGTTACGAGAAGATCCTGAAGATGAAAAAGAAAATTCTGGCTTCTTATCGTTTACTATCGATGAACATGGAAACGCCTTCTACCTTTGGACCTGTCTAGTCAGTCTTGTTGCTCTCCACCCTCTCGTTTTCACTTCTCTCTCGGTGTTTCAAAATGTTCATTCATTTCTGAGAACTACAGGTCCGATCAATTTACTCCTAGATCTCATAAATATTTTGGATCTGATTGCTCATACTAGAATCGAGTATGTGGAAAATGGTGTGGCAGTGAAAAATTTGTCGAAATTGATGCATCATAGATTGAAGTCGTAAGCATACAGAATATGAGGAAAGATTCAGGATTTGAAATATTTCAGAAAATTTTTCATACTAGATGTTATAGCAGTTATCCCAACAGAATCATTGGAAGTTTTTGGAGAAAGTTTCTTTTGGGCAAGAATCAATCGACTCACAAAGGTAGTGTTAAACCAGTCCTTTTAAATTAAAAAAGTCTAATTTCAGTGTTATCGACTTTTTAACTTTTCCACCCAAACTGATACTCGTACAACATCTCCACATGCATTCGGACTTTTCAAACTCATCTTCATTTGTATGGTGATCTTCCACTGGAATGGATGTCTTTACTTTCATATCAGTAAAGTCTATAACTATGCAAGTGAGTATAATACTTCTATTTCACAATAATTAATACATTCATTTTCAGCCGCTCGACTGGAGCATTGGATATTTTCCTATGACAAGATAATCAATCCAATTCTAGCAACATGTGCGACAGACGATATTTATGATAAAAACTTTTGTGATACGGATGACCTTTTGATAACTCATTTACCAGATAATGAGGTTCAGAGTACGGTGACCAGTTTCATGAGCACTTGGGATAATAAGTTTGAATCCACAGATCTCCTTTTCTGTTATTCCAATTTTTCCAGAACTGAAACTCTGAAATTTGCCAATTTCTTCCGTCAATATGCTCTCTGCTTCTATTGGTCTGCTCTCACTCTAGTTACTCTTGGCGAACAACCATCTCCTTGTACAACATTTCAAAACGCGTTTGAAATCGGAGACACTCTTCTGGGTCTTGTCATTTTTGCTGTGATCGTCGGAGATGTTGGTAACATGGTGGTGGCGATTAATTTGAGAAAATCAGAATTTGAAAATGTTTTGGATGGATGTAAACGATTCATGGTATATAGGTTGTTTGAGTTTTTTATTCACAAAATTAAATCGATTTTTATTCAGAAAAGTTCCACACCTTCTTCGCAACAAAGCCGTTGAATACTTTGGCTATGTTTGGGCTCACGGAGGAGCACAAGTTGATGAAGAGGAGATTGCCGAGTTCTTGCCGCCAAGATTGTTCGGTGAAATTGCGGTAGAGATTCATATGGACACTTTGAAAAAAGTGAAACTGTTTGAGGTTTGCAGTTGGAATCAGAAAAAAATACATGACTCATTTCTTGTAGAACTGTGACCCACGGCTCTTGTATGAGTTGATTTTGAAGCTACAACTTCGAGTGTATAGGTTTGTGTGCTCTATTTGTTTGTGTTTTTTGATCTCAGAAATCTAGGGAAACTTTTATCTAGACTGGTCGGGCCGGTTGATAATTTTTTCCAAATCGAAACTTTGGGTAAAACCACACCAGATGATAAAGATCGGCGAGTTTTAGGATCCGAATTATCACCCGGCCAGAATTGGTTCGTCGACAATATGTTTTTTTTTCAGTCCAATGGATTACATCTGTAAAAAGGGAGAGGTTGGAACTGAAATGTATATTGTAAAGGAAGGATTTGTTGAGGTTGTCAGTGAAGATGGGCAGACGGTAGATCGAATATCCCCATTTTTCGAAAATCTTGCATTTTCCAGATTTTCGTAACTCTCCCCGCTGGTTTTGTGTTTGGAGAGCTCTCGATTCTGAACATTCCAGGAAACAAAAATAAAAATTTGAGAACTGCATCAGTCAGGTCTAAAGGCTACTCTGATTTGTATGTTCTGGACAAAGAAGATCTATGGGAAGCACTTCGAGAATATCCGCAAGCCAAAGATTCCCTAATACAAAAAGGAATTCAAATTTTGGAGAAAGATAAAATGATTGATCCGGATATGGTGGATGATGATGAAGGAGATTTTAATGGTCCAATTGAGGATTATATAGAACATTTGAATCAAGAAATTCTGAAATTAACAGCGATGGTGGATGACGCGGAGAAAAGTATTCATGTGAGTCATTTGTAGTTTGAATGGGTCTAGAAATAGAAAAAAAAAATGTTTCAGGCATCACAACAAAAAATGAAAAATCGATTGTTTGGAGTGGAAATGGAGCTGATTGAAGAAATGAAAAAGATGAAAGAAGGAATGGGAGAATGCGAGAAAGAGGAATTAAAATTCTGGAAGAAAAAAAGAACCAATGTTTGTCTGCTATAGGAACGTATTTTGTCTAAAAGAAGCCCAGCCCTATCATTAACTTCGAGCTCAATTTTCTCGATTCCTGTGAAAGATATCTTGAAGTGATCAACTAATCAGTTGTTTATCATAACGTCACCAATATTTTATCAGCTTGCAAAATTAAGATATCTTTCACAGGAAACAAAATATTCGAGTCCAAAGTTGATGGCTTGGGTAGGCTTCTACTAGGGAAAATACGGTGTGTACCGGACAAAAAATTTTACATGTCGTTGTTTTTTTTTCAGGTTAAAATAGGCTAACTTTGAAGTTTGAGCAGTTTGATTTTTCTAAAAAATCAAGAGAATATTTTACAGAAATGTTTTGCACATTTTTGGCTATATCATTTACCGTAAAGCCTGTAATACAAGCGACCCCACAGTGCCAAGTTTCAGCTCAATTATCTCGGTTCATGTGAAAGATATAAAAAAAGTAATCCACTAATAAAATATGTGTGATAACATGATAAAAATTTTGTCAGTTGATCACTTTTTTATATCTTGAACAGGTGCCGAGATAAACTGACTTAAAGTTGAAAGTTAGGGTCCCTTCTATTACAGTTTTGAGGGTAAATAAACTTAAAGCAATGTAGCAGTCCCTTCGAATTTTTTAATCCCTGGAAAAAACTAAAAAATTTGTCAGAAAAGTGACATCACAAAATGTATTTTTGATCTTTATCGGTTCAACTGTCAATTACGTATTTTTGAGAAAACTTTGAGAACCGGTTCTCTCCTATATTTTGTTCTCGATTCTCTCAAATTTTGTTCTCGATTCTCTCAATTTTGTGATGTTCCCTGAACATCACAAAATTCAAAATTCCACACCTTCCGTTTCCCATCAATATATTTTCTTTAAAACAAATAAATAATTGATCTAATTCTTCTCGTTTCTCTCATTTCTCTTAATCTCTCTCGTGGAGTCCTTCTGAACAAACACTGAAGGTAAACAATGTGTTTTTCTTTTTGACTCACATCGCAAACCTCACAATTATAATTTTCCAAAAAAATATCTTATTTTCCCAGTGAATACCGTAGTAGGACCCATTGAATATTAGATTATAGTTTGGGCTAGAAAACAAAGCCCACTTTCAGTTGGACACAAAAACATCGAAAATCGGTTGGTTCCACTGTACAAAACAATACAATCCCTCCCCCTCCCACCCAATTCTTCTCGCTTTTTGAATTTTCTCTCCTCCCTTTTTTTCTGAGAAGAAGAACAATAATACAGTCGCTAAGAAGACACACTATAAAGGTATGGGGCTAATATAACGGACGGGGCGAAAAGAAGGTGAGAAGATATGGATGGTTTTCTTTGTTTCTCTGTTACCTCTCTATTCCCCATTCACTCTCGTTTGATTCCTCTAGTTGTCTAATATCCTGAGGCAGAGGTAGTCCTTGCGTGAGAGAGTGTTTCATTTTAAATTCATGTGAATTCCTCGTTTTCTGAACATTTTTCTCCGTTTTTTCTTTATTTATGGGTTCGATGTTGGGCTGACAAGCATTTTTTAAAAGTTGTTAAATACTGGCTTTTCTGGTTTCCTTCTCGTATATTCTGAAAACTGAAGACTCACCAAATTTACTTTTTGTAATTTTTTGTGCATCAAAATGTTCCTAGAACTATGAATTTTCATAAAATTAATTCGAAAATTCGAAATCCCTTAAAAGCCCCGCCGAAAATACAAGTTCTCGTCCTAGAGGGTCGTGGGAATCCTAGTCCAAGGCCGTTGTGTGCGCTGTTTTTCGTGCAATTTTTCACAATCTTTTGCCGTTTTAAGTCTTTTTTTAGAGAAAAAATTGAATGATTTAATTGTAAACTTTATGAAGAGGACAAAAAAGCTTTGTTGGTCTCACAGGTACCGTAAACACTCTGATAGAAGGGCAACCAACCCGCCAACTTTGAGTGTATATAATTCTGCTCCTGTGAGAGATATCGAAAAGTGTTCAACTGACAAAATATTTTCAAAATTATGATACATATTTTGTCAGTTGAGCGCTTTATGATATCTTCTACACAAACGGAGTTATGGGTTTGAAGTTGGCGGTTTAGAGTGTTTACGGTAGCTGAAAAACTTCATAAAAACAACTTGGATAAGGCTGCTTGAATTTTCGACGACTTTTTCAGAAATTTAGATTTTGTTCTGAATTTTTTCAAAGAAAAATTGTGGAAATACATAACTTTGGGAACATTTTAATGCAAAAATAAAACAAAATGAATCATTTTGGTCCTCCTTTATTTTCCAGAAACTGCAAGAACTGATAACTTTGAAAAAGCCAATAATAATAAGCTGTTAACATTATTGATTTAACACTTGCTGACTATTTATTTTTTCTTCTTTCAACAAACCTGTAAACAACCTAGTTAACCAAACATTTCTTGATAGCAGTTCACTGGTTTTCCAAAAACGCCCATGGAATTGAAAAATACTGTCAACAGCAGACATTCGATTATTTTTCTCCTCTCATCTTCTCCCCTAAAAAACCTTCTTGTCTCTCCCTAACCGACTATATCCATTACATAATTATTGACCACTTTACAAGAAAAAGCGGCTACACAGAAAAGTGTCATCATCCATCAAATCTTTTCTCTTTTTTTTTGAGACATCTTCAAGTTTCTTTTTTGGCCTTCACTTTTTCTCCGCCCTATTAATTTTGGCGCTTCGTCTGAAGCTGTTGTCCAACTTTGCAAAGCCTTGACTACAACAATTTTTTTCCAAAGTTCTCACCATCCTTTCAGATATCAATCTTTTTCTCACCTAGCCATTTCTTACGTATTTTAGCCTCCCCCCCCCAAAGTGTCTTTCTTGCCACCCCACTAAATTGTTTTAGTGGGAAAGTTAACATTTATTTGGAAAAGTTTCTTAAAACTCGTCAAATTGTTCGTTTCTTATTTTTTTGGCTCTAACTTAAAAGCATATTTTTTCAGACATAGTCAAAAAATGGGTTCACCACGAATTCAAAGTTTCAAACGGCAAACGGTACTTCACAAGGGACAGAGGTAACGTATTTTTCAAAACATTAAATTTTTCACATTTAAATGTTCTCAAAATTATGTATTTTCATAATAATAATACTTCAAAAAAGTCATAAATAATTTGGAATCCCTGACAAAACGCCGTCGAAAATGCGGCTGCAATTTTCCAGCTATTTTTGAGGTCAACGAGACTAGTTTATTCTTTTCATTGAGTTTTCAAAATTCCGTTTTTTGTGAAAATAAAAATACATAACTTTGGGAGCGTTTCAATACACAAAAAGTAAGAAAAATCGAAAGTCTTGTTTCAGAACCCGCCTCCCAGCCACCTACATTGCTCCCGAAGATGTTTCAATTTGGGATATCATTCGTCCAAATCTTGGAAAAGATTTCTCTCGATTCACGGTTCCCGTTTTTATGAATGAACCACTCAGTTTCCTTCAACGCCTTTCGGAAAACGTTCAGTACAATTATCTACTCGAAAAAGCTGCTAAATGTGAGGATGAGATGGAAAGAATGGAGGTTCGGATTTCTTTTTTAGCCCGAGTAGCTCGGTCGGTAGCGGCACCGCGCCTTCAATACTCGTTCCACAAGTTTAACTCCCCGCGGGATTTTCGTGAACGGAGATTTGAGATAATAATTGCTTCATGTCCCCACATTTTTCAACCTTTTCTAAATTCTAAATTCCAGTACGTAGCTGCATTTGCGTTGGCTACAGTATCAGCTAATCACAAGAGAATGTCAAAGCCATTCAATCCATTGCTTTTGGAGACTTTTGAACTAGAAAGGTATTGTATTGTTTCAACATTTGATCTTCATCATTTCATTGCATTTCAGAAATGGTGTACGTTTCCTGGCCGAACAGGTATCCCATCATCCTCCCATCTCCGCCGTCTACGCAGAATCCGACGAATTTACCGTGGAGGTGAGTGAGTGAAAATCTTATTACGTAAGCGTCTCTCAAACCGGTCTCCTCGACGATTGCGCAGCCTGCGGGAAGAGTGAAAGTGACCATGCTTACTTTGCAGGGTACCGTTGAACCGACGCTCAGTTTCTGGATGACCAAATTGATTGCCAATCCACACGCTCACCTCAAATTGACTTTCAAAAAGTGAGTGAGGAGAGCATGATCCTTGGTCTATTAAATCTATATTACAGGACCGGCGAGAAATTCACTTGGTCGGCGCCAAAGTGCGCCATCTACAATGTGATAATGGGCAAGATGTACATGAACTTTGTAAGTTCTGTTTACATTCATCAAGTTGAAAATTTTTGCAATGTTTTAGACCAGTCACATGAAAATCGAATCATCCGGAACCTATGACGCTGTGTTTTCATTTGACAACAAGGGATACTACAATCATAAAGGAGGTGATGTCCACGTGGAAGGACACATTTTTGAGGGAAAGAATAAGATCAAGGCGTTGTATGGAAATTGGACACTTTTCTTGGCTTCTTGCGATCAAGATGATTTCAAGCATCATCGAAAGGAATATGTGCAACTGTTCAATGAATCGATCCATGAGAAGGATAAGGGACCAGTGATTCCTGGATCCAAGATTCTATGGGTTTCCAATCAGATTCCAAAATTATTCGAAGATCAATTTCACTTTACGAATTTCACGTTGTCGTTGAATGAAATGTATGCAGGAATGAGTGAAAAAGTGGCACCAACTGATAGTCGTCGGAGAAAAGATATGAAGGCGTTGGAGGATGGGAAGAATGATGAGGCTGAGGAGTTTAAGCACAAGTATGAGGAAGAGCAAAGGGAGCGAAGAGCCAATAAGACTGGAAATGTTCCTATGTATGTTTTGAAAGAAAAGCTGTGGAAGAAGAATGTCGGTGAAGGTCCCACAACGAAAACTACCGTAACCTAAAAATATTTTCAATTTCTCAATTTATTACCGTAAAACCTGTATTAGAGGGGCCCTTCTATCAAAGGGACCCTTCTAAATAATATAGGTTCTCGTATGGTTTCAGTTAGTTTTTTTCACCATTACAAAATGTTTATTTTCCGACAAAAAGTAAAAAAACAAGACAACAAATACGGAAAATAAGCATTTTTTAGGTTACTGTAGTTGTCATTTTGGAACCTTCTGCCACGACCACGGCTTCCTCAGGTTCGATTTTTTGTACCTGAATAACAACATGAGGTTTTTCAGGTGGTTTGCAAAAGACGAGGATGGTCATTGGAGCTACAACGGGGATTATTGGGCACGCGAGTTTTCGAATTGTCTTGATTTGTTCGAATCTAACGATAACAATAATAGCACTCGCTCCAACTCATCTTTATCGTCATCTTCTTCATCTGCTGATTGATTTTTTTTATGAAACTCAAACTATTTTTGCTATGGGTATCTTTCACTGTCATAGATTCTAAATGAAGTTCTTCTTTGTCTTTTTTCTAGTTTTTTTTAAAGAAAAAGAGCATTCCAAAACGGAAATAGGCGAAGGAGTTTTGAGTAATGAACACTGCAAGATGGGGTCTTTTTCTTCTTTTTCTTCTCGGGTAATAGGTTTTTGAAGAAGATGCTCAAGAAAAGGAGCTTCGTTTAAATTGTTTTTGCCTTCTTCCTTCACCTCGAAAAGCTGCTGAGGAGCATTACTTCGTTTGCTCAAAAACCCATTCTTCTGCATGCACTGGAATTATTTGCTTGTATTTTTATTTATCGGTCAATTAGAAACACTTGATTTGGGTGGAAGTCGAAAAGTTCAAAAACCAAAAGAAGATCCAAGAAGAGAAGATGTGAACATTGCTGTAGTTTATCAGGTACAGTAACCCTTTTAAATGTACCAACTTTTTAAATATTTAACTGAAATAGTGCCTGTTGAAACAATTGAAACTGTCAGGATTAATCTATAAATTTACCGTAACACCTGTAATAGAACTCTAACTTTTCGCTTTGAATCAATTTATCTGAATTCCGGTCAAATATATATTTTTAAAAAGTAGGCTACTGATAAAGTGTACATCATAATATCACAAAAATTTAATCAAATGACAAAATTTTGATATTTCTCAAAGGAGCCGAGATAATTGAGCTCAAACTTGCCAGCGTGAGGGTCCTTCTGATCAAAGGTAAGACAAGGTTGCCGAAAAGCGTACAAACGGCGGCTGAAGGTTTGAGAATTCTATAAAACTCGCGTTTTGAAGAAAATGAAAGAAAATTTGTAACGAAAAATAGGAAAGACAATACTTTTAATTTTGGAAAACATATAAATACAGGCTCAGCAGACAAATCATAGTTTCCAGCAAAAGGAAAAGATTGAAATTTTCTAGATGGTCAATCTTTTCAATTTTTCGAATAACTTTTTTCGGATGTCTTTGTTTTGCTTATTCAAAAATTTTCAGCACTACGCTGGACGTTCGAAATCTTACGACAAAGCATTCAAGGAAGTGATCCGAAAAATCAATGATGCTACTGCTGTATCGTAAGCCCTCCATCGCTCACTACAACCTTTTTTACACACTGCTATTTTCAGAAGTCTTCGCCGTCTAGCAACTAGATATAATTTCCAGCCAGTCGATTGTATTCTCCCAACTGGAACGTTTTTCGTTAAAGAAGTTCTTGACTGTCTTTGCAATAATGTCACTTCTAACAACGTGGCTCTCATCATTTTCGTCACGGCGTCGGAGACTTATGACTCAACGACAGCTGCTGAGCAATACTTTCTGACGGCTGCTAGTTATACAGGAATACCGATCATTGCATGGAATGCTGATAACGCCGGGTTCACTTTCGAGAATGATCTCAGTCCGTATCGAATTATTCAGATGGCTCCACCAATTGAACATCAAGCCAGGTAATATTTAGACTAGCATTTTTCTAATACGGCAGCCCACCATCAACTTGAGCTCAATTATCTCAATTCCTGTGAAAGATATCAAAAATGTGTCAACTGATAAAAATTTATTAGTTGGCAACTTTGTGATGTCTTTCAGAGGAACCGAGATAGAATGACAGAAAGTGAAAAGTTAGGGAGACCCTCAATTATAGGTTTTACTGTAGATAAACTTTTGTTTTAGAGCAATGCTGGCTTTACTCCGTCGTTATAACTGGCCGAAATTCGGAGTCGTTACGTCTGAAATGGCTGGGAATGATAGATTTGTGACAGCGGTTCGAGAGGAGCTAGAAAGATTTTCAAACAAATCAACAAAGTTGTGAATTCTAGATTTCTAGAATCAATTGAAATTAAGTGAGTTTAGGTATGAAATGATACATCATTGCCATTTGGACACTCGGAACAATACGGATGTGGATTTGAAATTGGCTGATGTGAAGAAGAATCAGGCAAAAATTATACTTCTCTACGCGAATGCCGCTCAAGCTGGAGCTGTATTCGCTGTAAGTAGAGAATTCGATAAATAATAAAAAACTACAGTGCTGGTCCAGCCGTTTTGTTCATTTTCAGAAGTCTGAAGCTCGTCTGTCGAGTTTCAGATCACTTTGAAAACTATGGAGGATGTAAAACAGACCTTGATTGAAAACATTGTATTCATATAATTTTTTAAAACTCCTAGTTTTTCGGCTATTTGCCGATTTCTGAAGGGCACATGGTTTTTAAAATTTTCAGTTTTTTACTCCCTCCAAAATTTTCAAAGTGATCGGAGACTTAACAGCCCAGTTCAAGACTCCTGAAATGTTCGAAATAACCAAAAGCCAACTGAAAAATACAAAGTAAATATCTTATTGACCGGTACTATGAGAAAAACTACGTTTTCAAAAATTTCAGCATGCTGAAAAATTGGATATGATTGGAGAAAAGTATCTATGGATTGGCACTCAATCGGTGAAAGGAACCCAAACAACAGTGAAGGCACCGGCTCAAGCCGGAATGCTTTGTGTCAATTTTCATACTGTATCGAATGCAATGTTTGCTCCACGAGATGATATTCTTCCTCTGATTATTCAACTTGCTCCAAAACTGTTTGGAGCAGCACTTCTTCAACTTCGCGCCAATGAAATGTTCCCAATGAAATCGAATGTTTCGTGTAAAAGTGAAGATGGGGATCCTTATTGGGAAAATGGGAAGTTTATTTATGAGTACGTTCTTCTTAATTGTATTCTAGGAATCTCTAAAAATTTTGTTTTTCAGACACATGAAATCTGCATTCGTCAAGGGGAATCCGTTCCACGTGGACGATGGACACGACTCGTTCTTCTATACTTTCGAGAAAACAGGACGTCTTCGAAACTCGATTCTTCAAATTTCTAACTTGAGAACCAATTCGAAAGGAGAGAAAACTTGGGAAAAAGTTGGGATTTTTACTAATAATGAACTGAAAATGGCAGATGTTCAATGGCCAGGAGAGAAGGCGAATCCGCCACAAGGAACCGCTGATAAGTTCCATGTGAAGGTGGTTACTCTCCACGAACCGCCATTTATTACTGTATCTGATGTGGATCCGGATACACAGAAGTGTCCAGGAAATCAGGTATGCAATAAGAATAATAACTATTTTAGATCATCAGGAAATTTTAGAAGTTTTTGGTGAAATGAATAAGGCAGAGTTCAAAGGTTGTATACCGTATTTTATTTAATAGAAGTCCACCCCAACCGTCAACTTTGAGCTCAATTATCTCAATTCCTGTGAGAGATACCAAAATTTTTTCAACCGATAAAACATTGATGATGTTATGATAAGTAATTTATCAGTTGACAAACTTTTGATATCTGTCACAGGGATCGAGATAATTGAACTTAAAGTGGACGGTTTTGGTGTCAATGATATGTTACAGGGTTCGATTTGTGATTGGGGAGATGTGGAGTATACAGATGATGCTGGAGTCAAAAAGTAGGTTTTTAAAAACTTTCATTCCAAAACAATTAGGAATTCAGAAACCGAACACTTCTTAAATGTTGCTCTGGATATTGTGTAGATCTTCTGAACAAACTGGCAACAGATATTGGATTCACTTATACTTTGTACAAAGTTCGCGATGAGAAATGGGGATTGAAAACTGAAAATGGATGGAATGGGTTGATAGCTGATCTGATGCATAACAAGGCAGATATGTGTGTCACTTCCTTGAAGTTAAACTCAGAACGTGCTCGTGATATCGATTTTTCTCTTCCGTTTTTGGATACTGGAATTTCGATAATCGTCAAAATCAGAAGCGGTGTTCTATCTCCAACTGCTTTTCTGGAACCATTCGAATATTCCACTTGGGTTATCATCCTATTTGTATGTATCCATGTGGCAGCTATCTCGATTTTTATCTTCGAATGGGTCTCTCCGTACTCATTCAACATGCAAAAGTATCCACCTCCAGAACATAAATTTTCTCTTTTCCGATCTTATTGGCTTGTCTGGGCAACATTGTTCAGTGCTAGTGTCTCTACAGGCAAGTCAACTATATATCTTGTTTCTCTGTAATTTCTACAAATTCAGACGTCCCCAAATCTACAGTATCTCGGCTAATGGCTCTTGTCTGGGCAGCTTTTGGTCTCACTTTCCTGGCTGTCTACACTGCGAATTTAGCAGCTTTTATGATAACCAGAGTACAATATTATGATCTCAGTGGTATTCACGATCCAATGGTGAGAGAATTCTTAAAGCCTCAGAATATCAGAATTTTCTTTAAGCTCAACTTCCCGCAAGACCAAAAACCACCATTTCGTTTTGGAACCGTTGATGGAGGGAATACACACGAGACAATGAAAAGGAATTGGCACAAGTTTGAAATGGAATATAGTGTCTGTATATGAAGCATACTTTCAGAATGCACGAATATGTAAAGCACAACAAGTTCTTCCGAATGAACATTTCTTCTGGAATCGAGGCTGTTAAAAATGAGTTCGTAATTCTTAAAGGGAAACTCCAACCAAAAATACTGTTTGCAGCGAAATGCTGTTAACGTTATGTATTATCCTTATATTATTGCGAAAACATTCAAAAAAATCCGAATTCCCCGAAAAACGCCGTTGAAAATTTAAAAAGGTGGTGAATAGGTACGAGGATTCAAATTCCTGCGCAGTGAGAAACCTAGGCCATGGCTGCTGGACGTCTTTACATAACTTTAATGTCTAAAAGAATCCATTTTCAGCGATTTTTAGTTATTCGTTGAGTTAAAAACCCCAAAAATCGACTGGAAATTCAAATTCAAATTGGGTTTAAAAAAGCCGAAAGAAATCTGTCTCAAAATTTGTCGAAAATGACCTGAGATTTTTTTAAAACGACTCGAATTTGATCTAAAGTCTCAAAATAGGCTGAAAATCTTTTTTTCGTCAAAAATAAGGTCTAAAAACGTCGGTTTATGTGTCCGAGTGTTCAGATTTTCTGAGGCTTTTTGGGCTGTTTGAACTCAATAAAAATTTTTGGTCAGAAATCCAATTTTCAGAGAACTCGATGCATTTATATATGACGCTGTTGTCCTTGACTATTGGGCAGGCAAAGATGCAAACTGTGCATTGATGACAGTTGGAAAATGGGCGAGTATGACGGGATATGGCATTGGATTTCCAAAGAACTCTCCACATACCGCTTTAGTGAATCATTATATGCTACAGTATCAGCAAAAAGGAGATTTGGAACGTCTTCAGAATTTCTGGTTAACCGGCGCTTGTACTCCAGACAGTCACAGTCAAACTCAATCAGCACCACTTGGAATCGAGAACTTTCTATCAGCATTTGTTCTCCTGGCCGGAGGAATTGTAAGAATATTTTTTAATTAAACATTTAAAAAAATTGAAAAATATTTAAGATTGTCAGCGTTATTGTGTTGGGTTTCGAACACTTTTATTGCATGCATCTTCGAAAACCACTTCAAAAGATTGACCCTAACGGCTGGTGTGGAATTATTAGCATGGCAATGGGAAAATCATTGACTTTCACTGAAGCTGTGGATCGAGTTCAAGAATGGAGATCTCGAACACAATCTTTGGCAAGCACCAATTCCCCACAACTAAAAAGAAGACGTTCTGCTAATTTGAAACCCATCGAAGATGCAGCTCCACAAGAACAATTCCCAAGAAGAAGCCCTCGTTTTTTGCAAGTGGAAACGAATCTCTAATTATATGAATATTTAACATGTTAATTTCAATAAAACTGATTTGTATACAATAAGGGAGATCTAGTCGGCGTACTGATAGAAGGCATATGATAGGAAGGATAGCAGTAAAATAATAATAATACTTTAAACATTTGGGGCCAAGAGTCGCGAGTTATTCATAGTCTAAATCATCCATCATATCGTCTTCGTTGTAATCGTAATCGTCTTCAGAATAGTTGTCATCGTCTGCGTATTCTTCTCCGTCTTCATCGCCACCATTTAAGTAGCTAGCAGCAATGAAACGCGCTGGGATCACATAGTTTCCTTGTGCATTTGGCTGCATATTATGAATATCGAAAGGCTCTTCGCGGACTCTCTCTGGACGTTCAACTGGCGGGTTTACAGAAGACTGGTTGCTTTCAGAAGTGGACGATGTCTCAGACAATCTAGGAGCGTCGAGTTTTCTCTCTTCAGTTTGGATTTCCTTGTTATTAGACGTAATTGTATTGTTTTGTTTTGCTTTCTCGGCCTTTCTCTCCAAGTACCTCTGACGAAGCTCCGGTGTACCGAATGTTTTGCTGTAATGTGATTCTACACAGAGACCATTAATGTGAAACCACTAACATAATAAAATCCTCCAGCCAAATGGGGATGGCTCTGCGCTCTTTCATCTCAACGAAAACCGACTTTGTCATAGACAGATCATTTTTGGGTTGGAGGAAAATCTCTAAATGCGGTTTACGATCCTTATCATGAACTAATTTTTCGATCGATTTGAGGGTTTTGGAGAATGTCGATTTTCTCCATGTTGGTAGCTCGAGAAAGACATACTGTAAATAGTGAAAATTATAAACCGATTTTTCCAGTCTTCAATTTACCTTTTCGACTAATGGCAAGTTCATGAGCTTGAAAGCCGCGTAGCTGCACACTGCCACTTTGCTTCTATCGAACTTTTTGATTTCTTCCTCAACGATACGCTTATCTGTATGCATTTCTTCTATGAAGATGTTGCTCTCGATTCGTTTTCCGTACAATGTTAGCACCAACTTTCGACATTTCGTGTCTTCGCAGAAAATCAGCACACGATCTGAGCAGCAAAATAGTGGAAATACTGAAGGTTCAAAACCTACTCTTGCCTTCATTATCGTCGATAATTTTAATCAACTGGGATAGAGCATCTTCAGCATCACCAGTTGATTCTCGGGCATTCATGATGAGAACCGATTCTCCGCTTAGGTTTCCAACCGACATGACTCTGAAATCTTAATGTTAGTCAACAAAGAATGCGTTCGAAGTGCAATATAATTATCGAAATAGATACGAAAACATCCATATAAAATTTTTAAAATATACAATTCATTTTCCAGGTTAGTGAACTAGTCACTCGGGAATGGGTACAGGGATTTTGGCACGGAAACAGTAACAAGACTAGGGTGAAGTTAAAATGGCATACGGAAATAATTTAGTTCGTCAAAAGATACCTATTTACGGATGATACGAAAGAGGGTACATGCAAAAAAGAGCGAATTACGTAGATGTGAGCATGGCAATTATTGAGAAGTATCCGTTGTACTGTTCGTTAGGGGACGTTCGGATATCAAACGGTTTCTCTCAGCGAGGTTGGCATTGAATTCTGTCCGATATTTCTCGTATTGTGCGCGAAACCATTGAGGTGCTTGGTGCTTGTATTTTTGAAGGAACTGAAAGTATTCAAAATTTAATCATAACACAGGGAAGTTAGGAACAGAATTCCGGAACATAATTTTTTTTCAGAATTAGAGATTTGTCGACTACAGTATTTCGAAGGTGCACGCTAAAAATTCGCTAGTCTCGAGCGGAATTACTTTTCATATTAATTCGCCGTTTTCGAACTCTGTTTGTCAGTTTTTGACTAATTCTCTAGAGACTCCACGGATTCTGAGGAACCGATTCCGAGGAAATCGGGGCGGAGTTTACTTTTCAACTGCGTTGAGTAAAAATTGAAACTCCGCACCTTTTTTTTAGCACATCTTTAAGTCATATTAGCCAAGACCAACCTTGACATATTGAGGTAACATATGTTTATCTGCCTGCTGATCTATTATAATGTAGAGTTTGAGCTTGACGCAATTCATTGATGTAAGATTATCCATTTCTGTTTCCATCATTGTTTGGAAGTAACGCGGAGAGCAGAATCGAAAATAATGACAGCGTCGACTGTTCCTCGTAACACATCGTTGATGGACTTCCAATTGATAACAAGAACATCCAAACTTCCATGGCGGAATTCAAAATTTCGTTTCTCAACATTCTCAACAGAGTCCTGTCTGAAAAGATAATAGTTACATAGCTCCGAAGCTGAACTGCACTTACGTTAATATACAATTCACACTGAAGCCCTTTCTTTGGCCGTTGGCACTAACTTTCTTCAAAGATCTCTCTTTAAGATACATCGTAACTGTCGTTGCTACTTTCGAATTCTTCGTAACAATGAGAATACGTTCTCTCCGCTTATCTAGAAAGAACAGCTTGATTGGAACTCTTTCGTTTGGGATACTCACTTGCTCGATTCATATTAAAACGTTCTCTTTCGTTTCTCAGTTTCTCGATTAACATATAGCAGAAGTTCAATTTTTGCGCATGGGGAGTCATCACAGTCTGTAATTTAAATTTTCAATCGCTGTCTTCACTGGAGTCTCACAGTATATAGAGCTAGAAGTTCGTCCGGAAGGGATTTTCCTTTGGAAAATGCTTGCGCTGCTTTCTCATTAGCATAATCTTCGGCTGGAGTTGCTAACAAGAATTTCACTTGTTTGATGAAATTCCGCTCTCTGAAAGAAGAAATTAAGATAAAAATGTATTATTCACACACCTCGGCTTGTCGACTTCGATGAACATTTCACTACTCGTAACTGTTTGGCAGGAACGGATTACATCGAGAAGCGGAGCAGTCTGCGTTGCGGCAAACCCGTACATGAAAAGCATTTTGATCCGGGAAGTTTCGGAAAACTCGGAGATTTTATAAAGAAAACTGTTCAATTGCGGAATAAGGATGATTTTTTCCGCATTGTTGATTATCACAAATTTCAACGATTTTTGTAGCTCATGACCTCTGCGTTCCACGGTTAGAAAGTTTAGCCATCTGAAAATACTGTGCACAGATCCGATCATGACGCCCGCTGTGTTTAAATTGACAAAATTTGAATTTTCGTTTAGCAGTTGCACACCAGGTCTTCGACATTTCAATTCTGAAAAATATTCAAAATCGTTAACTCAACCATTAAATAGAAATTTACTTCTCTGTTCTCGGCAGAGATGTTCAAATGCATAGTTGGCATCATCCTCACTATCCGAAACGATCAGGACACACGGAAATGCGCTCTAGATAATTCAATTCATTGAAGAATAATGTTAAGGTCGTACCCTTCGCTGCACGGATCTTCCAGGAATGCTCAAAACCGTTCTATCGTAATAGAATTCTGGGTTGGGACGCCGGTGGATGCAAAAAAGATGTTTTGCCGATTCAACCTCAAATACGTAATCACTGATAGTGTCTCTCAAATTCCGAATCGAGTGTCCACTTCTATGGCTGAAAAAGATAATCTCCCATATTAGTATCATATATGCATGTTTAATGCAACTAATGTTTGTTTGTCAAACCTAATAGAAAATTCAGCCAAAACTTCTCCTAATCTTGGTAATTCGATACTTCGTGATATGGCATATTTTACAGCTGAAAAAATATAACACAGTCTTTTTTATGCTTCAAATATATCCAGAACTTGGTCTCGGCTGAGGAGGTCCCCACTCTTTGTTGTTCGCTCGAACCTTAAAACTATATTTGTCTTCCAACGTAGTTGTATAGCAATACCTCTGCGATAGAAAATGAATTATGCTCCGCATATCCCTTACTGTTCAATCCATCGATATCAACCACACCTAAAATTGCTTCTTTACCCCAATTTTTTTTATTTTTCTCTGTTACCCATGTTATGGACTTTTATCCTCTCCGAATCTTCCATTCTTTTTCTCTGTAATATGACTGTTAAATGCGAGCATCAGCAGTACTAGCCAGGTGACAAAAAACTGTGCAGAGTACAACGTCCCAGCAGAAAACCTCGATTACACCCGTCTGCCACCAAATCGGAGTGATTCAAAAATCGATAGCGCGCCGAAAAATGCGATGCAACTGCGCTCTACCTAGCGGGTCTCGCAACGAAAAAAAACTCCACCGTACTGCAGCCGCGAGAGTTGCTAGTTTTCGATAATTTTTTCGTTCGCCCAAATTTTTTTTGGCGATTTTTCCGCTGAAATGCTAGATCCTTCTCAATTTTTAACGGAATTTATGAGTAGATTTGAGAATAGTGGATGATTCTAGTCGATTCAGATCGTCTGGAGCGTGATTAAAATCCATGACTCTAAGTGAAATGAGGATAATTCTCAATCTTACTCGGCTCTCGCACGGCTGAGGTATGTATTTTTCGTGGTTTCTTCCTTTTTTCGTTCACTAATATGTTTTTTGTAGCATGGGACTTGATTTCAATCGTGGAGGAAGCGGAGGTATGTTTTTTTTTCATCTTGTTCGCCAAGAGCTAATTTTTTTGTTTCAGGATTCCGAGGCGGACGCGGTGGCGGTGATCGCGGTGGAAGAGGTGGATTTGGCGGCGGTGGTCGTGGCGGATTTGGCGGAGGAGATCGCGGAGGATTCAGAGGAGGAGATCGTGGGGGCTTCAGAGGAGGACGGAGCGGTGGAGACCGTGGTGGATTCCGTGGAGGAAGAGGTGGCGGAGACCGGTTAGTTCTCATTAAAAGCTCTGTTATTGAAAAAAGGATTCCAGTGGTGGTTTCGGTGGTCGTGGATCTCCAAGAGGAGGATTCGGTGGACGTGGATCACCAAGAGGCGGAAGAGGATCCCCACGTGGTGGACGCGGTGGGGCCGGTGGAATGCGCGGAGGAAAGACTGTTGTTGTCGAGCCACATCGTCTTGGAGGAGTCTTCATCGTGAAAGGAAAGGAGGATGCCCTCGCTACCAAGAATATGGTGGTGGGAGAGTCCGTCTATGGAGAGAAGAGAGTTTCTGTTGATGATGGAGCTGGTTCGATCGAATACCGTGTGTGGAACCCATTCCGTTCTAAGCTTGCTGCTTCCATCATGGGAGGACTTGAGAACACTCACATCAAACCAGGAACAAAGCTTCTTTATCTTGGAGCCGCTTCTGGAACCACTGTTTCTCACTGCTCTGACGTCGTTGGACCAGAAGGAATCGTCTATGCTGTCGAATTCTCGCACAGATCTGGACGTGATCTTTTGGGAGTTGCCAAGAAGAGACCAAATGTTGTCCCGATCGTTGAAGATGCCAGACATCCACACAAGTACCGCATGCTTGTTGGTAAGCATAATGTCTTTCTCGAAGCTGTTATAATCGCATATCTTTTTTTCAGGAATGGTCGATGTCATCTTCTCTGATGTTGCCCAGCCAGATCAAGCTCGTATTGTTGCTCTCAACGCGCAGAACTTCCTCCGCAACGGTGGACACGCAGTCATTTCTATCAAGGCTAACTGTATCGACAGTACCGCTGAACCAGAGGCTGTTTTCGCCGGAGAAGTCAACAAGCTGAAGGAGGAGAAGTTCAAGCCACTCGAGCAGGTTACTCTTGAGCCATATGAGAGAGACCACGCTGTTGTGGTCGCCACGTACCGCCCAGTTAAGGGAAAGAAGGTCTGATCTCCAAAAACGTTGTTACTTTCTTGTTATTTTGTTATATGTATAACTTCAACCCCTCATCGTTAACATTTGTTTTAATTGTTCCCCAATAAAATTGTTGTTGATGTTCCCAATTTTAGGCTTCTTTCCTCGTTTTACTTGGTTATCAACCATGGATTTATTTTTCTGCTTTTTTTTGTATTTTTCCTTGTGCTAATTCGAAATTCCAGGGTAATGGCGTCTACCGTGCAATCGGTTCAGACCTTCGGTCGCAAAAAGACTGCTACCGCTGTCGCTCACTGCAAAAAGGGACAAGGACTCATCAAGGTCAATGGCCGCCCACTTGAGTTCTTGGAGCCACAGATTCTCCGCATCAAGCTCCAGGTATATCTTGTGATTTTGAGCTCTGTTTCTACATTTTTTTATAGGAGCCACTTCTTCTCGTCGGAAAGGAGCGTTTCCAGGATGTCGACATCAGAATCCGTGTTAGCGGAGGAGGACATGTTGCCCAGATCTACGCTGTCCGCCAAGCTCTCGCTAAGGCCCTCGTCGCTTACTACCACAAGTACGTCGATGAGCAGAGCAAGAGAGAATTGAAGAACATCTTCGCCGCCTATGATAAGTCCCTTTTGGTTGCTGACCCAAGACGCCGTGAGTCGAAGAAGTTCGGAGGACCAGGAGCCCGTGCTCGCTACCAAAAGTCTTACCGTTAAATTCTTGTTTTGTTGCACAATAAAATTGTTATTAAAATTCGGATGTTGACAATAAAACGGTGGGATTGGAAGTTGAGTGAGCATTTAGGAGAAAGTCGAACATTTTCAAGCGTCCCTAATATCTTGCCGAGAAGGTACGGATCATTCTTTATCAAGCTGTTGAGCCATTTGTATACTTAGCGAGAAAAGCACTCGAAGAACCAGCAGTAGTGAGCGATGTTTTGTTATGCTCCACTCTCACAGACTTCGTTAATTTTTTATCAAAAACTTTATTTCTTTTGAGATCGGAACAAAAAACAGACTCAGATAGTGAAGCTGAGAAGAAGCATGTCAAGAACGAAAATAAAAAGAATTCCAGCGATAAGATCCAATCTGGAGTGCTTCGATTTTCGTGTGTAGGGTACTTCGAACTGTTGCAATGGCTTTGAGCTGGAAGAAATCTTAAATACGGATAGGTTTTTTTGTTTGGGACTCACCATATACATTCCGTTTGTATTTCGTTAATTCCCGTTCCATTAATGGTACACGTGGATCTTTTCTGACGAGCACGACTACATCTGAGATCACAACACGAGTTGAACATTTCACACGACGAGTATTCCGCCTGAATGATATCGAATTAGGTGTTGGAAATCGTGCAGTGAAAATGAAAACCTTTAAAATGCATTCTTGTGTAAAAACTTTCAGATTGCCTTCTGTCGTTTGCGGTAGGAAGAAGAAGATGGGGACTACTAGAAGAACAGTTTTCATTTTTCCAAGTTTTTCTGAAAAGTCGAATATAATATGAAGGGAACTGGATCAAATATCGGTAGAATTTTTTGTTTGAGTAGCTGAGCAACAAGTGATAAATTGACAGTTTCCACTGGTTCACTCGGCGCGGAGCAGGTTGCCATTAACACTTGGAAAAAAGAAACGATTGCCTTGTTTATAAAATGAAAACATTTGTGTATTCTGAACATAAATAGGAAGAGAACAACGGGTGACAAATAAATGACATTGACCCAGAAGCGAAGAATTCAGGAGAAAAAAGGGGGGAAATGGGAACACAGTGAAAATAGTGACTTTTTATCAGTGTTAACACATTCATTCTATAAAAAAAACAGTTTTTCAAATCAATAGGTTATTGAAAACAATATATGATCGAAAAGGGGAAAAGACCATGTGAATTAGACGCAAATGGCAATGGACAGCATATAATTCAAAGGCGAGGCGACCTTTTCCATTTTGAAAACGACGTCTTCGTCGGGGTCAGTTTTAGACTGTCCTCTTCTTTCTTCGCTTCGCCAAGGTTACACAATGGACACACAGATGCTTTAGAGTCGCCACCTGCTTCTTCTTCTCGTCGTTTCACTTTCTCTTATAGTTTTGTGGTTGAAACTTTCAACTTGAAAAAAAACATAATACTGAAAAAGGCATTTGAAAATTTCCCGTTTTGATATGTTATTTTTCTTATACAAAACATCGATTCTGTGGAAGCCGGTGCTGAAACGAAAATGCCGAAACAAAAAAATGCGGTCATTTTCCGTTTTTTTCTCCTCGTTTTCCATATTTTTTACTCAAAATCTGACTCAAAATTTTCATTTGGCGACTGAAAATCAGTGAAAAACGAGAAAATGATTTAGGTTACTGTAGTTGTCGTTGTGGGACTTTCGGCTACGGCTATCGGCGCTTCCGCTACGTCAGTCTTCAATCGGTGTTCAAAAATAAATTGAGACCCCGCAAATTCCGGGAAAAAAAACCGGGGAAAAGTGGGCGAAGTCGGGGCCGGAGCCTAAAATGCAACCCTGGCACGGTTTTTCTGCACATTTGGACACGGTCATAAAGGGGCGTAGCCTAAATTGCAACCCTGGCACAGTTTTGCCGCACGGTTTTTCTCGACTCCGCCCACTTTCCCCGGTTTTTTTCCCGATTTTTTTCCCCGGAATTTGCGGGGTCTCAATAAATTAATTTCGAAATACGGTATCAAAGGCGCATCCATTTTTCCAGAAAACTTTCATTGATTTCCCAGCAGGAGGATGCGCCTTTAAATAAATTTTCGAAACATTTTGGCTTTTTTCTATTTTCTAACAAGGGAAGGTTTTTCAGACAACGGTTGAGAATTTGCTCAAAATTTGTACAAAGGCACTTTCGAACATGCTGAATCCGAATCCAAAAAATTTTTAGCCCGTTCTCAGAAGGATCCGAGAAATGGCCTTTGAAAGTGCTTTTAGTACTAAATTTTGGCCAAAAAATGCATTTTTCGAGGTTAAAAATTAGTTTTTCAGGATTTTCTTGAGTGCGAAACTCATTTTTGGACATTTTTCTATCTTCTAAAGTAACTTTTAAATATTTTCAAAAAAAAACATTTTTTTGAAAAATTTTGAAAAAAATCACCATGGGGTCCCCCACACTGCAAAAGTGATTTTTTGAAAATTTTTTAAAAAGTGCGAAAAAACGTTCCAATTATTCAGAAACGATAAAAATAGCATTCTGACAAATTTTTTCAGCCCAATGTTGTCTTTGGGCTCAAAAAATCTCCAAAATCTGATTGTTGTTAGAACTTTGACTGTTCCTAATTTCTGAAATAACGCTTGAACTTAACTGAAACCTATAGAATTAGGTTTGAATCTTGTATGTGATCGATTTGACAGTACTCCACCTCAAAAAGAGCAAAATTGAGCAACTTTCAGAAACTGAAATTTTCGTTTTTAACGATACGAGGATGTAAGAACCGGCCGAAAAGACCATTATCTATTTTTTCCTCAAACTCTCATGAAATCTTTTTTTTTCCTTGAAAACTTTTGAAATTAATCAAAAAGCGTCATATAGTGCCTAGGGGGGCAAACTTGAAATCAAAAACTAGTTTCAAAAAATGCCAAGAAAGTTTTACCACAGTCGGGGTCGAACCAGCATATTCAATACTAATGAGTCACCCTCTTACCACAACACCACACAACAGATACTTTCCTCTCACGCGGAATTGGTAGAGGTGGGAAGGGGAAGCCGAAATCCCCAGCGCACCGAAATCGGCCGAAATTTTCAAACAAAGTTTTTCGGCCTAGGAGTGAGAACGAAATCGATCAGCTCGGTCGGCTGTCGGTCGGCTGGGTCGGTGGTCGGTCGGCGGTCGGCGATTTTCAACCGACCGAAATGGAAGCCTTGTTCGGGATACTGTATCTTGAATGAAAAAAACATTCAAAACTAATATTAAAAAATTTATTAAAACAGAAAGATCACTTCAGCTCTTCTCTTCGACTTCTTCTGGATCTTTCCTTGCTCTTTTTCTTCCTCTTACTCATTTTACTCTTCTTCTTCTTCTTCTTCTTTCTTTTCTCTTTCACTAGGTAAAATGTTTGAAAACTGACAAAAACTGTCAAAACGACACACGTGGCAATCAGAGTGTACAGTAACCATCCACTTCCAGAAACTTCTGGTTCTACGATCCGGATGAACTCTACGGAGCACTTCTTGTTTGCAAGGGATGGCCGAGCTGCAGCTTTCAAATGGAGCATTTCTTGGAGACTGAAGAAAAAAGCTTGAATTCAGAAAAATTTCTCAAAAACTTACGCATTCGAATTCTCGTAGACTTCTATTGGGAAATTGTCGTTGTCGAATAGCACATCCTCCTCTTTTCCAGCCAAAAGTTTCAAGTTTTCCATTTTGATACTTTTCAGATTTTTATTATTCTTGAATGTCAATGCGGGTCCATTTGGATTCTTGATTTCTTCCACTTGCCTCAGGAAATCGAAAACTTCATAACTGGTTCCTACGACTTCAACACCGGCTTCAATCACCCTAATCTTGGCCAACGTCTCCTTCACAGATTCCACGTCATCATATTCTCCAGTGATAATCAGTTTGGACTTCTCAATTATTACACAATCCTCTTCCATAGACAGTGCATCTTTTCCCGAACATCTTTTCTCATTTCCGTTTATCAAGGGAAATAAAATTGTTAGGAAAATGGTTTTTATAATTAGGTTTCGATTCATGCAGAGTTTCTTGATATGCGATAGAAATAATAATTGTGGATGGGTGGTGAATCAGAAAAAAATAGTGATTAGAATTGAAGATAAAATATCTATCGACCCCGTGAAAAATCAAAATTTACGGGTCATTAGGTCTACAATATTAGGTTGGCGGGAAAGTCTTTGTCACTTTTTCAATAGTTTATTTCTCAAAGAAAAAATAACCGAATAATTAATTATATTGTCCATCATTATCAACAACATGTCTCCAACGTTCCCTCAATTTATGGATTCCATTGCGGTAGAATCCAGCCGGGCGTGAGGCAAAGTATTGTTTGAGTGCCGCTTCGACCGCTCCACGGGAATTGAAGCTTCTTCCTTCGAAGGCACGTGTCATATCGCCAAATAACCAATAGTCGGAAGGAGCAAGATCAGGAGAATACGGGGGGTGAGGGAGAACATTCCATCCATATCCCATCAGCTCCTGCTTCACTTGTTTCGAAACATGTGGGCGAGCGTTATCATGTTGATAGTACACTTTCTTGTCTTTCAGGGCCGAACGGTCGACTGCTTTCTTGAGGTTTCGTAGTTGAGTAGTGTAGAGGTCTCCAGTTATTGTTTTGCCCTCGGGCAGAAGTTCCCAGTAGATGGGGCCGTCCACTCCCCACCACACAGAGAGCATAACTTTTTTCGGATGAAGGTCGGGTTTGGGGACATCCTGTGGGCTCTCTCCTTCTCCAACCCACTGGGATTTCCTGTGGTGATTATCGTAGAAGACCCACTTCTCATCTCCGGTTATTAGCCGGTCCAGCCATCGATCGCCCGCGTGGAGAGTGAGAAGAGTAATCGAATCGTCGACTCGGCGGTCAAGGTTGGCTTGAGTCAGGTGATGAGGTATGAATCGACCAAAAAGTTTTCTCATTCCAAGAGACTTCAAACCTTCAAGGACTGTGCTATGGTGAACTCCGAATGTGACAGCTAGTTCACGGCTAGATTGAAATGGATCCGATTGCAATGCGTGCTTCAGCTTGTCCAAATCCAACTCACGGGGTCTCCCAGAGCGATCCTTTTCATCGAGCGAGAAGTCATCTTTTTCGAAACGATGGAACCAATTGCGAATAGTATTGTAGTGAGGGGCAAGTGTGTTGTACACATTCTTCAAGAAAGTTTCCGAATCCTTCATCGTGGTGTGAGATAGGAAGAGGTAAATCAAAACATGCCTGATGTGAATAGCAGTGGGAACAAACATATCGTTTCAATTACAGATGAGGAGCAGGGAAGGAAATGGGGACTTGTTTATATGGAAGGTTCTTATCACCTTGTTATTCACTAGAGTCGATATCATACACAGCCTCCATATACGAGAACAGTGATTAAACAAACAGAGTGACAAAGACTTTCCCGCCAACCTAATAATTACAATGGAACTGTCTGAAAAATAGGCAAAAAACTTCACATCAATGTCTGAACCTATTCCAAGTGTATGGAACTTTATAAGACCATCTAGAAGTCAGTTAAATACAGTCACCTGAAAAAGCGCAGAAAAAAGATTCAAAAAAAAAGAGAAGCCCACCCAAACCGACAACTTTGAACTTATCTCGATTTCTGTGAAAGATATCAGAAATTTGTATATTGATAAAATGTTTATAAGAATATTACCTTTTTTTATCAGTTGATCAATTTTTGATATCATACACATGAATCGAGATATTTGAGCTTAAAGTTGAGGATTGGGGTGGGTTTCCAAAGCAATTACGGTACTTGTGGAAGAAATATGAGATTCAAAATTCAAGAAACTTTACGAGATTTTTGACATAATTCCCTCGAAAACTACCGAAACAAACTACTTCTCGATTATTGGCTCCACGTATCTTCGAAACCGCTAAACTCCGAAACCAGTCATTTCGAAACCGGTCGTTCCGAAACCATAGTTATACAGGCGATTGAATGAACTCCAGACAAAAAAAAAACAATTAGAGGGTCTTTAAATATTTTTTTTCTGCTAGAACACATCCTGAAACTCGAAAAATTAAAAAAATATATTTTGAAAAAATTAAATTTTGATTTTTCTGAGTTTCAGAAAGTGTTCTATCAGAAAAAAAAACATATTTGAAAACCCTTAAATTGTTCTTGTTGTCAGAAGTTCATACATTCGCCTGCATTACCACGGTTTCGAAATTACTGTTTCGAAGTGACACGGTTTCGGATGGACGCGGAGCCCGATTATCAGCAACTATTAGAAATTCATTCAAAAAGCTAATACTGCCTGTTGTATGACATATTCCAAAATTATTTTCTTCTGAAAGTGGCTCATATATCGAGTATGTAAATTCTGTGCTTTTTCGTGTTCTTCTCCGATCATCAAAACCATGCTGACCACGTTGTCTGCACACTTGCACCTCCCAGTTCAGGACACACTAAATACTTTAATTCTTTGGTTATATCATTCTTCATTTGTAATGACAAACAAAAAAGAGGTCATACACCTAATGTAAGAGCTAATCCGCTTTTCCTACCTGTAACAATTTCAGAATATTCATATGGCACATTGATAAAAATGTACATGAAATAAGTATATGTATAGATATGTATATTGAATTTCTTCATGAAACTCATTCAGTAGTCGTTGGAATTGTTTTATACTTGACCATCTGATACTGATCTACATAGGTCAACTCCTTGGTTTCCATGTGGGTGTAGACGTGGTAGATGACTTTTCCATCTGATGTTGGGATGAATGAAGTGGAACGTCCCCAGACCATGTTACCGTATTCAATCAGGTCATCAGCTGGAAAAACTAGATTCAATATCAAAAATTGAATGGGAACTTACAAAGACTCCACATGCTGAAAACGTAGTCTCCCTCCTTGTTTTTGTCAGAATTGAGTTGCATCAAAAAAGACGAGTAGTTGACTCCACTACATGGCCAAACGAGAGGGAACAACCCGCAATCCAAATAATTTAATCCACACGAATCTCCTGGCCATAATCCGTTGTCTCGATTGCAGGTCTTCTCCAGTGTTGCACTTCCTCCTTCACAGTTACATAAACCGTAATTGGCACCAGCGATTCCAATCATTACTTCTACTTTTTTGTTCAATGGCAATCCCAAATCACATTTTCCATCCGGTGCATTCACTGATCCTCCTTTGATAATCTTTCTCGCAAGAGTCACTCCCATACTGTGACTGACCACTGAGATTTTTGGGGCTCCCGTATAGGCGAGAACTGCTTCTAAAAACTTGCGAAGACGGATCAAATCTGTGCAATCGTGAGTTCTTTTAGCAGCATTCAATGCACTGGTGTCTTGCCAGGAAGTGGCATAGAGCTCAGCGACAGTGTATCCGTGCTCCAAAAAGTATTCAATAGAGTTTGACCATCCGGTTGCAGCGGACGATTTACGGAGAGCAGAATCTGAATTTCCGTGGATGAAGACGACTGGAGTGTTGACTACTTTTGGTGCATTTTCTGTTTTTCCTCCGTAACTTCCTTGCGTCCATAGTCAGCACGAACGAAGTCATAGGAAGAGTAGCCATTTCTGGAAATATCTATCACTATGCTGGAATGAAAAAATTGAAGCTGTGGCCGAAGGTCTCACAGCGATAACTACCGTAACCTAATAATTTTAGTATGTGTTTTATTTCCCCGTTTTCACAGCTTTTCGTCAAGTTGTAGTTCATTTTTCCCTCAAAAAAATGACTGAAAAGGCACGAGAATCAAAAAATAAACTCTGAAATTATAAAAAATTACGATTACAGTAGTTGTCGTTGTGGGACTTTCAAATCTTCGATTTTTCGTATCAAAACTGTAATAGAAGGGCCCTCTTTATTTGAAGGACCTCTCTAATAGAAGGGCCCTCTTTGAAGTTTAAGTACGTTTTCAGCGGAAAATATTCCGGAAGTTCCGAAATTTTACAGAAGTTGAAAGATTGTTTTTTTTTAACTTTCTTAATTTCGGCGAAATTGATAGATTTTCTTGCATTTTGAACGAAAATTAGCATGATTTTTTAATAGAAGTTTTCGGAAAATGGGTCTCTGTAATTGAAGGGCCCTCCGGAGGTACCTTGGAACAATACAAGGGCCGGTCCTTGTAATACAAGTTTTACGGTATTCTCCTGCCTACTTACGTGGCTAACCATGTCTGGAAGTCGTCTGTTAGTGGCCCAGCAACATCTGAAGCGGAATCGACAAAGCAAACGAGTGCAAGAAATACGAGTCGACGGAGCATTCAAAGAACTGAATATTTCAGGTTGTGTAAGCTGTTTCAGTAGGGTCTTTATACAGGAAAACGGCACGTTATCACAGCGCCGAAGGCACATGTCGTGACGTTATCGATAATCTGCTTCACATTTCGTTTCGACTCAAACTATACTGGCTTTTAATGTTACTTTTTGATTCGAGAGTGCTTTCGGAGTACTTGTGTATTGGTTCTTTTTTGATGTTTCGCTTGAAAAATGTTTATTGATGAAAATCGGTACTTGAAATGATAAAAATGAGATCAGAATTTGAAATTTAGAAGATTTGTTAGTCATCGGTTGTTCACTGTCGTTACGAATTCGAGCACTTGGTCATAGAGTTTCTTCTTCGCGTCTTGTGGAATCTCTCGTCTCGCCATGTCTTTGACTGCGTCGAATACCTCCTTCGCGTTCACATCGTCACCGGCTTTCTGTAAAGACATCAAAAGGTTGAGAAAGAAAAGAGGGCTGAGAAACAATTTGAATACCTCAAGGAATTTTTTCACTTCTCTCCTCACTGCATGCTCCCACTCGCTATTCTGGAGACTACTCAGTAGTGTGCTCTGGAAATGTCAGATGAAATATCTATGTAGATCATCATTTGTTTTTGAATAACTGATCTTTTTGATTCAAACAAGAAATTTTTCATACCTTTACAAGAGAAGATTCTCCGCTATCTTGGAACTCCAATTCGATTGCTTCTGGCTTCTTGCGCATGATATGGTCGTCATCCATTTTTGTTTAGAATATGCTGTAAAAAATCTAAAATTTCAGCTGAAATTTCAGAAGAATACAATGCAGGACATACTTGTAACGGACCGGGCCGGGCCGGGCTTTTTCTGGAATTGTAGAGGCCCGGCCCGTCGGGCCCGTCATTTCACTGATTTTGAAATTTTCAAAAAACACATAAGGGGGGACCCTTATGTGATTTTTTTCGACCAAAAATTTTTTTTTGAGTTTTTTCGATTTTTTTTTTGATTAGACAGACAAACAATCCAAAAAACGAAAAAAAATGGAAAAAATTATATTGAGAGCTCAAAATTTGGCTCAAAAATACAGAATTTTTGACACCGGGTCTTCCGGGCCGGGCCCGGGCCTTGAAAATTTCCTCAGGCCCGGCCCGGGCCTTGGCGGGCCGGCCCGGAATTTTACAAGTATGATGCAGGAAAGAATTGAAACAAAGCGAAAAGCAATGAAAAACGCTAAACAACGTGCAGGTGCGTTATTGTGGAGTGTCGTTGCATGCGCGAAAAACTTGAATTCAAATCGCCGACGCATCCACTCGATTTCATGGTTTTTCAGTTTAAATAAAAAGTTTTCCTGCAATTTACGACTTCAAAACACACAATGGACTTTGTAAAATTACCCAAAATGCAAAACAAGTATCTGCGATGCCCATCTTCCGTCTACGAAGACCTGGAATCGAAACATTACATGATGCCTGCTGGAGAAACTGATGATCATGTAAGATATAATTTAAAATACGCAAAAATTATCGAATAGTTTTACAGGACACTTGGGTAACGTCCAGATTCTCGCCACATTGGAATCAAGAGCACATTTTATATATGGGTGATGATCCAGGAAATATAGGTATCTTCGATGTTCGAAAGTTTCAAGATCGATCAGTGCCGTTAGAAGAGCGACAGTTACATTGTGAGTTTTTTTTTGGAAATAGGATTTTGAAGCTGTTGATATTTCAGTTTTTCCCGCGCATGATGGAGCGATTATGGATGTGGTTGGTGTTCCGAACAACGAATCGCAAATCGTATCGATATCAGGAGATTCAACAATTCGATGTTGGGATCTGAATCAGGCGCCTCGAGATCGAAAATCGCAACTTTTTTTCGGACATGAAGGATCCGTTCGATCGATAAGCTTCTCTCCAAATGATCCCAGTAAGAATTCGATAAGATTGATTTTGATCTCTGACTATTTTAATTTCAGATGTCTTTGTTACTGGTGGTCGAGATTTTCAAGTGAAAGTATGGGATATGCGTGTATCGACAGTTAGAAAAATGGAAGAAGACTGTCGAATGGCTACGATCACTTATAAAACAGCACATCCGAAAAATAGTGAGTTCTCATTGAAAAGCATTTCTATAACAATATGAATTTAGCTGATAAAAAATTAACTAGCGCTGGGACACCGAAATCAAAAGCGAAATCGGCGAAACTTGAGGGTCACAAAGTGACAAGTGTCATCTTTCTCGACGAAAACCACGTGGCAAGTGCTTCTGAAAATGCAGCGAGCGGTATTCGCGTTTGGGATATTAGAAAACCAACGAAGAATGGATTAGAACATCCATCTCGAGTGCTGAATGTGCCGACGTCAAACAAAAAGTCATATGGAGTCACATGTCTCACTTTGGATCGGTTTGGAAACCGACTATTCGCGTCGTGCACCGATTCTTCGATTTTTGAATATTCGGTCCCAACAGCATCTGTATCACCGAGTGAGTTGGAAAATTCATTTGCCTACCCAAACGATAATTTTTCAGTTAATTCTTATACTGGTGCCACCATCCACAACTTTTACACCCAAGTCTCTTGCTCTCCGATATCGGATACCATCGCTTGTGGGAGCGAAGACGGTCGTGCGGTATTATGGGATCTACAGGATCAGTACGTCTACATGAATGACTTGTCTTTTCCGGATGAGATAGATAAACGACGGTCGAAACTGCCAAAATGGTCTTTCGGAGGACACCTGAAGCAGGTCTTGAATGTGGGATGGAGCTCTCGAGGCAACTATTTCATGTCTTGTGATGAAGGAGGTGTTCGGATTTGGACAGAACCAAGACAAAAGAAATCGTGGAAACTCTTTGAGGAAGATGATTTCCCGTATCCCGCGCCCAATCACAGCGATGGATTTGCATATGAGCTTGTGAAACCTTTCGAATTGAAAGAATCGGATGCAGCGATGACAGGTTTCGACAGTATTTCTTTATCACCAAGGCAACGAGCCGACTCCGGATTAGTCGGAGGATCGCCGCAGAAGAATCGTGGATCGAAAAGACCTATTATTACAAGCCCATTTAAATCGATATCTTCAAGTCCAAAACCAATCAGACTAGGTCAATCACCTAGAGCAAAAATGTTTAAGTGAGTTGAATCTTAGAAAAAAGTCAAGCAATTCTCGAATTTCAGAATGTCACAATCCCCGGGTACCAGTCCTTTGAAACCAACGAATTCCAATGTTCAAGATATGGGATACAGTACTCCACGACACAAGAGATCGCATAGGAGGAAATCACCATTCCATTTTGAACATCCAACCGAGCAAATGCCGAATTTCGTCTACGATAATTTTATTAAAAAGTTGAAAGGAGAATCGGAAGAACCGGAAGATACTAGAAAGTCATTGACGAAAACAGGACGAAAACGAATAGAAGATTGGTGGCAGACGAAAGGAGAAAATGTACCGACAACGGGTAGAGCAAGGTGAGAACAACTAATTTTATGAGAGCTTCAACTGATGATTTTCAGGTTGCCAAGCATCAGCGAATTCGGCAAATCTGCTTGCTCAAAGGTTCTAACAGAGACCGAAAGGAATGCTTTGAATTCCCCGCGAAAGTTATTAGTACTCCGAACGTCACAATCTCCATGTAAAATCGTCACAACACCCGTTTCCGCTCCAACGAAATCCATACCGATGACACCTCGAAAACCGACCGATAAACGACCGACGAGTCGAAATTTGTTCCATTACTTCAAAAAGTAGCATACATAGAACCCATTTTGTAACATTTTCACAGTCACCTTACGTAGTTTCAATTTTTAAACATAACCATCTTCACTGTGTGTCTCATAACCATCTTCACTGTGTGTCTCATAACCATCTTCACTGTGTGCCACTTTACTCATTTTCAGTTCTAAACTGTAAATAATTCCCAAATTGACCCATTTTATTTAAAAATTAAAATTTTCATTGAAAACATGTTTTAAAACAGCAAAAATTGAATATGACCCGTAATTGAGTTGACTTCCTGATTCTTCACTACCCACGCCCAGATCCACGAACCGCCGTCCTCATCCTCTTCAGAAGCAACGAAGACTGAGCAGACGTAGAAGAAGCAGACGATGTGGTTTGTCGAATACTGAACTTTGATCTGACCTCGATCATGAGAACTTGAATGGCTTGGAATGCTTCTCGACACACTTGATTGATTCGATCTTCTGGCAGGGAGAATCCCGTGTAGTCATCAATAGGAGAGAGTTCGATGGTGTAGGAGTACTTGATGCCACGGGACTTTGCCCAATCATCGGATGCACCTGCAGCTGGGTCTGAAACAAATCAAAGAATTACGTTTGCATAAAAATAGGATCTGTGAAAGAGAAACGTTGTGGCTGTGGCTGAAGGTCCCACAACGACAACTACCGTAACCTAAAAATATTTTTAATTTCAGAATTCATTTTCTCGTTTTCACTGGTTTTTCGACTTTTCAGTTAATTTTTTTACTGTCAAAATTTTCAATTTCTCTTTTGCACGGCGAAAAACACCGTGCGTTTTCAGTCAATTTTTGACTGTAAAATTTGACTAAAAGTCCCGAAAAGCGAGAAAAAATTAAATGAAAAAAACGTTTAGGTTTGTGTAGTTGGGGCCTTCAGAAAATTCGTAGACTTACACAATCCATCTCCACTGTTGACCACATTATAATCCGTATTGTTAACAGCTCTGATAGCAGCAGCCATCGCTTTTCCGACCTGAATCAAATCCTGAACATCACTGGGATACGTTCTCATCGTATGTCCCCATGGATACAGAATCTCTTGTCCATAAGAATGCAATGCAATATATCCCTTAATTCTCGTCTCTTCTCTCTGAATCGCATTCGTCAGTGCCATGACTTCTGGCTCTGATTGTGGTCGAGATCCACAGTAGATTTCCGAGCATTGTGAATGACTGACTCCTTGTGTACCCCAGAAAAATGGATAGTTTCTGTTGGCATCCGCTCCAGAGCATCGACCATTCGAGAATCGAGAACGCGTCTTTCTCCACATTCGATCGTTAGTCCTACTGTATTCGTAACCATCTGGATTTGTATTTGGAACGACGACGAGTTGCACGGCATTCAGAAGATCTTGATATGCAGGTTGACTGACAATCTGGGAGATTGAATGGAATGATAAAAAATTAAATTTTTGAGTAATTCTTACAGTATAAACTAAATAGAGAGCTACATTATAAGAAATCCATTCACGAGCATGAACACCGGCATCAATCCAGACAATGGGTTTGCTGGATCCATCATCTCCTATCTGAATTTTTTTTCATTTTTAAAGGTGGGGTACATAAAAATATTTAGAAACTATTTTTCTCGGAATCCCGTGCATACACGTTCTTCCGAAATTAGGTCGTGAGTCACGACTCGTGACTCTAGAAAAATGAGGGTTATGACCTAGAAAACCAAAAAATTAGATTGTGACCTGACAAACCAAAAATCAGGTCATGACCTAGAAAATCCAAAATATTAGGTCATGAACTAGAAAATCTAAAAAGTAGGCTCATTTAATTCCTACCCGAACAGCAGTTAGAGATCTTCCTTCATACGAATTTCCAATCTTCTGAAGCTTGACATCGTTTGGATACTGCTGAGCAATCGAGTTCAAAAATTGCATTTGCTGAAATTAAAACATTTTTTGAATATTTTTTTTCTGAAATGTTTACCTCATCATAACTCAAATACCTATTATTAACATCGTTAATAGTGATAGCACCATTGATATCACGTCTTCTTCTCACTTTGAAAATTTGTGGATTCACATCTGAAATTCAAAATCTTCAAAATTTTAGACTTCCCATTCCCTACCTCTCATTTGATAAGTGATATTGTTAGAAGCCAAATTCGTTTTAACATTTTCCACAGAATCCTTGTCGATAAAGTATGAGCCTGCTTCTGCTTCCAGTTTTCTCCAAGAAAGTCTGGCTGAAAATTTAAAGATTTAGAAAAACATATATTTCAGGACTTGAGCTGTACCATAAATCCTAAATTCTTATCAATCTCTTGAATATATTTTCTGACACGTGGATTTTGAAAATTGACCTCCAAAATTTTGAACCTGGAAAGTACAGCCATCAATGGATAACATCCCTATAAAACCCACCCGTCATAGTTTTTGTACTCCGCTGAAATTCCACTAATGAAAACAACCGAAAGAGATAATAGTTGGAGCAGCATTTTGGAGAAGAAACCCAGCTGCTGCTACCAACAACTCTCTGTAGAAACAAAAAGATTGAGGTGAGGAGCAGCGAAGAAGTGTATCGCAATGGAGCCACACGACAAAAAGACACCACGTGAAAAAAAGAAAAAAAAAGAGAGAATGGAAGAAGAAAAATTGGAAGAAGAGGGAGAGGAAAAAGAAGGGTTTGTGGAGAAGGAGAGAAAAAATAAGTGCAAAGAGCATCCGGATCAATCTAGATCGAAATGAAATGAAAAAGATGCCAACTGTTGGGGAGGAGGTCAGAGTGGACCCACAATGTGGGTGGTGCCATATTTCGGGTTCTTTTATAGCAACTTTATTTCTAAAGAATCATCAAAAGGGAACATTTTTTTCAAATTGACCACATTTTCTATTCCTTTTTTTTCTCGCCCCCTCCTGATTTGCATTGGCAGCGATTTTGAATAGAACAAAAAAGAATGTGTTCTGATATATATATATACATATTCTCTATGTGTTTCGAGGGACATAAGGAGAATATGGTCATGTCATAAAAAATACCGTATTCGGGAAATCATTGGCAAAAGGATAGACATCCGTGCTCATGGGAAACAGGAAAACAGACTGACTAGGAATTGGCAAGAGCAATGCTACAAAAACTGACAACCGGATTGAGCTTACTAAGCTAGTATACTGTATACTAGCTTAGTTTATAAGCTAGTGATCTAGTAAGCTAATAAGCTAGTAAGATATTAAGATTTTGCTAGCTAACATATTTACTAAGCTAGCTAATATACTTATTTAAGCTAGCTAACATGCTAGCTAACATATTTATTTAAGCTAGCTAACATATTTCTGACTTGATTTGGGGAAGGAGGTCAAAATTCGTTAAAAACGTTTCGCGATTTTTGGCCTATTGCCGTTTGCCCACGAAGTACTTTTTTAACCACTGAAATTTTATGATTATCTTTTGAGTGACCTGAAAACAACACCAGTTTGTTCTCTGATACATTGAATGCCGTATTTCATCTAATAGAAGCCCATTCAAACCGTCAACTTTGAGTTCAATTACCTCGATTCCTGTCAAAGATAGCAAAATGTTGTCAACTAATAAAATATTGCTGGTATTCTGATAAACATTTAATCACTTTACAAAATTTCGATATCTTTCACAGGAATCGAGATAATTCAGCTCAAAATAGACGTTTTGAGAGGGCTTCTATTAGAGGTTTCTCTCAATTTAGGGGAAAACCATATATTCTTTTTTCAAATCGAAAATTGAAAATTTCTCAAGATAAAACATTCTCAAGATAAGAAGACGGAATCAGTAATGTAGGTTAAGGTACTCGATGAAGTGAGAAACTGGGTATTGAGTTCATGGCCAGTTGAAATAGGTAAGTAAACCAGTGATAAGGGATAATCGAGAGAGTGGACAGAGAGTTTCGCAGTAAAAAAAAACCATCTCTCTCATTTTGCGAAAGTGATGACAGTTTATTTGCCATTGTGATGAAAAGAACGGCAAGCGAAAAGAGACCGTTTGAAAATCAAAATCATGATGAAGACTGAAAATGAAGAGAAAAAATACGACTAATAGGGCGAAACATGACTGATAGTGACAGAAGATAAATCTGTCTTCTGTTTCTTCTTGAAGACAAAAGGCGGGAGCGTGAAAGGAATACCAAAAATTGTTAAACTTTTCTGTCTCTCTCTCTCTGCCGGTGACTACTGATGCCCAAAAATGTCTTCTTGTTCTTGTTCTTTTAGTCCCCAAAAACGTTTCGAACAATAGACAGAAAAGTGACACTGTTTTTTTTTCGTTCGGAAGGACACTAGCCAAAAAAAACGGTTTGGTGATAAATTGGCTTTTGTCAAGTTTTGTATGTTTGACTTTTGAAAGGAGGGGGTGACATTAGTGACACAATTGTATTTGAGTTGCCAAGGAAAAGAGGATGTTTGAAATTGGAGTGAGATAATTCTTTGTTTGTTTTTTTAAAAATATCTTTTGGAAGTAAATTTTGAAGTCTTTATTTGAAAACTTTGATTGAATGCTATGGGGGCATACTTACCCGACCTACTGAAACACTGCACTTTTCAAAGCGATTCCTCAAGTATAGGCATTGTTAGGATTATCCAAATATGAATATTTGCACGACAGTGTTATTTTCATGTGATGAAGCAACCTTGACAAGCTATAACTCAACTGAAAGTTGATAAAACAACTTGAAACTTGGCCATTTTACTGATTGATGATTTCCATTCTTACACTCCGAATTTGAGCACATTAAAACGCATTCCTCAAAAGTTATGCCAGTACAAATTGAACTTGGTTATTATTCTCTATCAGTTATAAAACAGCCGAAACCACACATTGAACATCATAAAACCACATTTAGCACCTAGTCCAATATCTACAAAAAAAACCATTCAGAGTTCAATATTATTTGAATCACATTTATTTCACTCTACAAAAAATTTCGTCCTTGACCAAATACAAAAAGATTATCGAACATTGATTTTGGCGATTCTTTCAGCCGCGCGAGCCTCGGCAGCCTCTCGATCTCTCTTTGATCGAATATGATTTTCCAGTTCCTTCCGTTTAATTTCAACCAGATTGTCAATGCTCGGCTCTTTGAATACTGGATCAATCATTGGATCTTGTTTCTTGGTATCTTCCACATCCACATTTCCAGTTTTCTGAGGCCAAAGACTTATGAACGATTCTCTCCATAAATTGAACGGGGATGAAGCTCCCATAAAGTTATCCGATCCTGGAGGAATACCAATTGCCTGAAAATTTCAAGTTTATTCTTTTAAAAATCCATTAGAAAAAAAAATTACCTCCAAATTATCAAAACCGCATTTTATGAACATTGGCTTGTTGTGATCCGTGATGTAACCTTGTGGACAAACTGTTCCAAATGCAAAATGACTGATCATATTTTTCACTAATTTTGGGAATTGCTCCATTCTAGATGAGTACATCATCAAATTCGCTCCATATGAATAGGCCAGGAAACGGAGAAATTGACAAAGATGACGACGTTTTTCCGATTCAAAGTTTTGAAATTCGTCGTATTTTGTAGCGACGATTGTCATTGGTAAAGGGCATGGTGCGCACATTTTCAGACTCGAAGATTCATATTTTTCCAGACGAAGACGCGATTTCTCAGCCATGCGGGTCTGAAGGTTCGCATCTTGCCGTTCCAAATTTTCCACTAGCCGTCGGACGGTGTCTACAGTTTTCTCAATTGTGATCCACATTTCACTCAAATTTGTCATGTCGAGAAGAACAATTAGGGAACATGTTCTGAAACAAAACCTAACAGGTCGTGAGCGGCGTGCGTTTGTCGAAAACGGTTGATTTCGAAAAAAATTTTTCGACTGAAAAATCGAAAAAAATCCAAAATTCGTTCGAACCGCTAAGCTGAGCTTAGTGCGTTCTAAGCCATTTTTATCATGGTGGGTTAACTTATTCAAGTTGAATTTTTCTAGGCCACCAACTTTTATGGTCTAGAAATGACTCAATACTCACATGGTGTGTTTTCTAGGCCATGTACCACAATGACCTAGAAAACTCACCCGTTAAATATCAGATCTAATCTATGCCAAATAATTGATGGACTAGAAGACTCAATTTGCAAAAGGCATCCTTGTAAAAATGGCCTAAAACACACCAGGTAAACATCAGATTGTTTCAAGGCCAAAAAAGTTGATGGCCTAAAAAAGTCAACTTGCAAAAGTTAGGCCGACCATTTCTGGACCATCAACTACGGTGGTCTAGGAAAATCATGTTGAGAAAGTTAGGACAGTATGGTCCTCATATGAAACTGGAGAGTGAGGTTTTCGACATCGATCAAAAAAAAATCGAAATCTCGTTCGAACGTTACAAAAATCACACACTGATCATAAGAATTTTTTGGAATATAAACAACATACTCCACATTTTTCGCTGTAATCGGTACCGACAATAACTCAGTCACTGAAGATCCACCACCAAGCTCCCATAAGTTTGCAACATCTTTGACCTAAACATCAGAAACATGAATTATGATAAAAAATGGATCAACCTACATTTCCTCTTGTCCTTCTTGCGTACGTGAATTCGAGTCCAACCGATTCTCTCAAATCTTCTTTCCGCTCCAGAAAATTCAACATGAATGATGATTTGCCCTGCAAAAAATGCATAGTTGAATCTTGAATCTCTTATCAAATCAATTAAAACACATGTCAACAAATATTTCTTACGCATTTCCGATTTCCCGCAATAATGATATGCGATTCATGCCGTCGGCGTACTTCCGCCACTGTAAAATTTGGAAACTACCAAAAAAAAATTGTTTTTTTTAACTCACAATAATTATCATTTACTGCTCCATTCTCATCATCTAATTTTTGTTCAAGCTCAGCTGCTCTTTGCTTATTTTCCACAAGTTTTTGTTTAGCAAGATCCCAAATATTCATAGTAAATAAGTGAAAAAGTGCAGGAGAAGAGGAGAGAGTGAGAGAGGAAGAGCATTGCTCACCAGAAGGGGGAAACGAGGTAACCATGGAAACAAGAATTCAACAAGATTTATTTATGAACGCATAGCCTATGCGGCTTAGGAGTAGCAGAAGAAGGGGAGGACAAATATATTATTATTAGTACGGCGAATTAAAATTTTTTGGAAAAAGTTCTGGGTCAGATCAAAATGTGAGAATGAAAAACAAAACAAAAAGACTAAAAGAAAACAATTTTAAAGTTATTATACATTCTAGAACCAAATATTTTCTTCATGGCCATCGTGAATTCCAATCTCGTCATATTTTGCAGGATAATTTGCACGTCTTAACTCCTCTGGATTCATTGGACGGGTCACTCCAGCGTCCAATGAGTATGGAACAACTGATCCGTAAATGAGAACAACCTGAAAAAATTGGGAACAAGGATGCACTTTGAATATATTTAGAAAATACCTTTCCATCCATACTTCTCTTTTTACAATAAAGATCTCCTCGATATTGAGAAATGTTCTCCATGTGTCCACTGGCAACAATAGCTTCCATTGAATGATTGAAAATCGCCTGGGTTTGTTGCTGAAATAATAGGGAAGATTGGACAGTTAATGGGGGAATAAAAGTACCGGTCAATATGACAAAATGTATTTTTCAGTTGATTTTTTAAACTATTTTCTGGATTTTTAGCTCCGCGTCACTTCGAAACTGCGACTTCGAAACCGGGCATTTCAAATCCGTGGTAATACAGACTAATAAATAAATTTAAGACTTCAAAAGCGATTTTAGGGTTTTCAAATACGCATCTTCTAATAGAACACATTTTTTTTCATTTTGACCACATTCAGGATCTGTCAACTTCAAAATCCACTAAAACAAGTTTTTGCATATCTTATTAACCTGTACTGTATTGGCTCAAAGATTTAACTCAGGGGCCTTTCTATTACAGGTTTCACTTTGTACCCCAGTTCCATAACTCTCACGGCAGTTCTATGTTTGGTTTCACGCTGTTTTTCTTTTCTTTGTATGCAAATTTGACTCAAATGTCGCTGAACTAAACCTGTAGTTGTGTGGCAAATCGTTGCAAGTTACATCTCTGCCACTCGGGTCTTTGTATTTGCGAGACTGCCTCATCCAAAAATTGATCCAATTGTCTGTTACAACATTTGTAACCGTGTGAATTCTGGAAGCACTTTGGTGGAGGAATTGTAGTTGTTGTAGTTGTTGTAGTCGTCGTAGGTGGTGCTGTTACATAAACTGGCGGTCTAACGTAGGCGGGAGGTGTCGGATATGCAATTGGATAAGAGGGAGGTGTTGGGTAAGCTGGTGGAAGCGCATAAGATGGTACCACGGCATATTTCGCAATAGCGTATGAACTCATTGGAATGGAATGTTGGGGAGCCAGAGGATAAGATTGAGCTGGGGTTGCGTAGCTGGTTGGAGGAGTTGGATAGGCGTTCTGTTGTGGAAGAGGATACTGCATCATGGGCTGCAAATTAGAATAATGACCCCGATACAAAAAAGCTGGATTGACTAATTTCATTCAGTTTTATCATTGGGTAACATTACCTGCGACTGATAAGGATAAGGATTGCGATTCTGATAATATCCAGCATGTGGTTGACATCTGTTCTGGCACCCGAGCTGAAAAAAAAACTGATTATCGGAATCTATGGCTTCCTAATTTACCATTCCCAAAAACCAGCCATCTGCAAATTTCCAGGAAAGAAGAAATGATAATATTAAGCTGAATTGAAGGAACATTTCTGCAAATTCTAGAAGAAATTATGAATTAGAAGTATTTAAATCAAAAGAAAAATATGAAATAGCCAAACGATGTGTAGTTCCTCATTGGCCACTCTCACATCTTCTATATAAACCGAAAAGGTTCGATTTCGTTTTTCTCGGAGAATGGGCGGTCACACCGCTTTTTTTGCCACCAGCGAAAAACGTAAAAAGTGTATCAAACGGCTTAATTAAATCAATTTGATTCGATACCTGGGAAGCGTTGTTTTTCCTTCAAATTCTCCTATTCTCGATGCGAAAAGAAGTTCCCAATCTTGATGAATACACCAGTTTTTTTAAAAAGAACGCTCCTTATCCGGGAGGTTGGGCCTCCATGGTGAGAAAGGAATCTTGAGTTTCGGCAGGTATCTTTTGATCTGGATCAACATTCGAAATAGTTCCGCTCCTTCTTGGAATCCAGCTGATGTGGACTCTGCCTATTCTTACTGATCTCAACCAGTCCCAGGTAGGCTAAACTTTATTTATCACCTTACAACCTGTAAGAGAAGGGCCTTTTTTTTTAATTTGAGCCAATTTTTCTCGGTTCCTGTCAAAGATATGAAAAAGTTGTCAACTGATGAATTGTTTATCATAATATCAAAAAATTTTTATAAGCTACATTTTTGATATCTTTCACAGGAACTGAAATAAACTGGCTCAAAGTTAGGGGCCCTTCTATTACAGGGTTTACGGTAATAAAACACTTCATTCAGATTCCAGTTAATTTTGGAGCTAGTTTATTTTTTCATAGTGAATATATAAATACTTTGGAAATATAGAAATAGGAACTCAAACAAGTCAAAAATCCAATTAAAACACAACATGAGCAATTTGGCACGGCAATGAAGTTATTAATTTAAGTTAAAGAAAAAACATAAGGAATTTGGAAAATAGGTAAGATCGCGGTTTGTGAGAATGAGAGATTGAAAAAAAAGAGATAGGAATTATTAGAAAACTTAAACCCTAGGTCCAAATATTTTCCGTTCCATCATAAGTTCCAATTTCGTCGTATTTCGCAGGATAGTTTGCCATTCGGAGCTCGTCTTCGTTCATCGGACGAGTTACTCCATTTTCCAAGGCATACGGAACTGCTGACCCATAAAGTACCACCAGCTGAAAGTATAAGTGATTTAGGTAGTTTGTTATGGATTGATTCGTTACCTTTCCATCCATGCTTCTCTTTTTGCAGTAAAGATCTCCTCTGTATTGGGCGCGATTTTCCATGTGACCACTGGCAACAACAGTTTCCATTGAGTGATTGAATAGTCCTTGTGCCTCGTCCTGGAAAATCAGTTGGGGTAAGAAAATAATTTCGGGATAAGCCAAAGATGATAGTAGTTTTTGTAAAGCTACAATATATGCTTTTCTCGATTTTTCGATCAATTTTACGGATTTTTAGATAGTTTTAATTGTTTGGATGAACTTTTTTGCGATTTTTCTGTTTGAAAAAGTTTAAAATCGATGAAATTTATCGAAAAATCAAAATAAAATTCCATTGTTTTTATCGAGTCAAAAACGATTTTTTAACCTCAAAGCATCCCCTAACACCCCTCCGTTAAACAGAATGCCTTGGCGGTATATCACAGTTTTTTACGGTACTTGTTATAACCAGTTGGAGTAACAACATCTAATCCTCATCAAAAAAACCTACAGAACCATCATCGAATCATTTCTCTCTAATGCATTCTCATGCAAATTCTACCCTAAGCGAACCTGTAGTTGTGTGGCAAATCTTTGAAGGTTACATCTCTGCCAAGAGGGTCTCTGCATGTTGGTAACTACTTGATCCAAGTACTGATCCAAAAGTCTGTTACAACACTTGAATCCTTGATTATTCAAGAAGCATTTTGGTGGTGGAAGTGTAGTTGTAGTAGTAGTCGTTGGTGGAATCGTCACATAGACAGGAGGTGGTCGGACGTATGTCGGCGGTGGAGGTCTAACGTATGCTGGAGGTGTTGGGTACGCTACTGGATATTGTGGAGGTGTTGGATATGATGGAGCAACCGCATACTGTCCTCCTGCATACGAATTCATTGGAATAGCATGTTGAGGAGCAACTGGATAAGCTTGAGGAGATTGTCCGTAATTTGCTGGAGCTGTGGCGTATTGGTTTGGTGGAGGAGTTTGTGGAAGAGCATATTGTGCTGGCTGAAAAAAAAAACAAAAGTAAAAAAAAACAGTTTCACGTATAATATGTACTTGTTGAACTACCGTAAATACTCTAATGGAAGGCGACCCAATACGTACACTTTGAGATCAATTTTCTTGGTTTATATGAGAAATATGTTGGTGATATGATGTCAAAATTTTATTAGTTAACAATGTTTTGTTATCTCTTATAGAACTTGAGATAATCGAGTTCCAGGAGGCCTCCTATTACAGGTTTTCCGGTACCTTTCCGGTTTTTTTTATATTTTTTAATCCATTTTTAGAACAATGAAAGAATATTTCTTGCTTTTTTGTCATCTACATTTCTAAGAAAATAAGGGAGTCTCACGACTCTCATTTCAGTCTTTTCATAATTTCTCACAGTGCTCAGTCAACCTAAAAATATGTGTATGGGGGTGTGAGAGCAGTGCCAGGAGCCGCAACGAAGCTCACTTTCAGCTTCACTTCTTCTCATTTGATAAAAGTTTCATTTTTGGGTGGAGGATTATCACTTCGCCCTCCTCTTTTCACGGATTACCTGTTGTGCATACGGATTAGGACTTCGATTCTGATAATATCCAGAGTATGTTGGACATCTATTCTGGCATCCTCCTCCCATCTAAAATTATTTGATTTTTTTGAACTTGATTTCTCTATAAATCTACCATTCCTAAGAACCATCCATCTGCTAGTCTACAGGTGAGTAATAAAAACAGCAATAGAGTGGACATTCCTGGAAAAGAAAACATAAGTTGCGGATAGAAAATAAGACAGTCACAAGGAAGTCACAACGAAATCACAATAGTATCATCTCACTTTCTCTATCTTTCTCTCTTTATATAAATCAAAGGGTTCGATATCTTTTCTTTCCTGGAAAAAAGGGCGGTCACTGTGGTTTGTCTCTCCAGAAAAGTGCGCCATCAAGCGGCTTGCAAATCAATTTTATTCGACACTTGGGAAACGCAGTTTTTATCCGAAATTCCCTTTTTCCCGATCAGTCAGAAACAGTGCCCATGATCATGTGGGAGAAGCCAAAAGAAGAGAGAGAACTAATAGAATATCTGAATACATAATCACTATTAGGTGTCCGTTTTATGGGAAAACAACTGTTATGGTTGTGTGAAAAAGTATGCCATTGAAATCTTGAAATATCGAGAAAAATCTGGACACAGAACACAGTTCAGCGACAAATTAGAAAACTGGATAAACCAGTGGTTGAGACCTTTCACCTGTTTCGTTTTCATTGATAAGAATAATCTAAATGATTAAGTCTAAAGTTCAAATGTTTGGGTCGAAAGTTTTGTATTTTAGAGAGCTTATAAAAACATTAGTTATGGATATTTGCATTTACAGTATCACGAAAATCATGATACTGTTTTAGTTTTACAAAAATAAATTCCCCTTTAAAGTTAGAGCGAGTTTCAGAGATCCTTGAATTTTTGGGTCCTAGTTAACTTTGTTCCCACAACTTTTTCAGTTTTTGAGATGTTTTTGACATAAACCTGAAGCGCGCTTCAGAAAACCCAGTTTTTTGGGTGTCACAACTTTAAAGGCGCATATCTTAAACATCGAAGAAGTTATCAAAAGTTGGTCAAATATAAACATGTAGAACAGAAATCTTCGCACAATTTTCTGGTTTGGGATAGTTTTTTGTTTTTTTTCCTGAGATATGCGCCTTCCAAGGTGTAGCGGTTTAGAAAACATACTCTTTTAGGTGCCACAACTGTGAAGGCGCATATCTCAAAAATCGAAAAAGTTGTCAAAAATTTGTCAACTGTAAACATGTAGAACATGAGTTTTTACACACTATGTTAGTTGACAAATTTGTGATAACTTTTTTAGTTTCGGAGATATGGGCTTTTTAATTTCGAGCGAGCGCTTCAGAGTAGCTCGCTTTCTCTTATTGAGTGTTTGCTATTTAAAGGCGCATATCTCGAAAACCAAAAAAGCGAGAAATTGTTTTCAAATAAAGAAATATGTAAAATTGTATGTTTTACATCTCTGTAGTTGACACTTTTTGAGTAGCTATGGTAGTTTTGGAGATATGTGCCTTTAAATTTGGCGCTTAGTTTGGATGAAGACTTCTGTAGAAATGATCCGCTAGCTGTGACGCAATCAAAAAGATTGAAACGAAATTGAAAAGTTAATTAAGATTTCAGAAGATGAAGTGGAATTGGAAAAGTATTCTTATAGAAAAAGGCATTCCCAAACCGAATGACTCTGAATGATGGCATTATAATAAGACGGGTCTCCTCCTCCTCCAACACCAGAATGCCACATTGTTTTCGAAAGGGGGACTATATAATTGGATTGCGAGTAGCTGAACTATCATAAGGCACAAATCAACATACAGAATTCCGCTAAGCACACCTATTTTGCCCGTCCTCTCTATGCTTAATGCAATTAATAGCTGGATGAATAGCTTTTTTATGCTGTCTGCAGGGCGAAAGTGTCCTCTAGCCCCTCTTCAAAGATAACGTATCGTTCTATCTTTGGTTCATCACAAATTAGAAACATTCCGAGAACGGGTTAAGCATGATGATGGGTGTTCATTCTCAAAAAGAAATTCCCGGTGTTATTATCATCGAATCTGATCAATTATTGGTCAAAGCTTAAAAAGTTTCTTTTCTGGATCATCTATTCTGACAGAAGTGTGATTTCTTGCCGTATTTAGGCCTGATGTGTCTATTGTTTGATGAGAACTTTGGAACGACAGTTTTTCGAGAAGCCGACTAATTAACAGAACCGAAAACAATTACCATATTTTCTCTCATAGAATCCCACTTCATCCGTTTACTTTGAGCTCAATTTTCATACCTATGAGAGATATCAAAATTTGTCGACAGATAAATTATTTATCGTAATCATCAGTAATTTATCAGTTTACAAGTTTTTGATTTCTTTAACAGGAATCGAGAAATTTGACCACAAAGATGAAGGTTTGCGTGTGCTTCAATATTAGAGGAAATATGGTAATATTGTCCCACAAAACTTATTAGCTCTTCAAACTGAGAAATAGAAATGCTTGTAAGAAAACCAAAAAAAAAACATATTTTTAGAACTTTTGCAAATTGATCTTGAATAAGCCACAGTTTTACTCAAGAAAAAACGAGCAGTTACCATAAACCCTGTAATAAGAGGGAACCCATCCTGTCAAGTTTGAGCTGATTTTTCTTGATTCCTATGCAAAATATCAAAAATTTGTCAACTGATAAATTGTTTGTGATATTATGGTGAACATTCTATTACTTGACAGCTTTTAGGTATCTTTGACGGGAACTGATAAAAATTGGATCAAAGTTAAAAGTTAGGAGGTCCTTCCATTACAGGTTATACGATAGATTGTCTGGATTCATCCAGGAAAGTAACTAAAATTTCAAGATTCAGTTGATGCTGTTTATTTTTTTAACCCGCTGCTGAAGATCTTTATGTTATGGTGAAAATAAGTTAACACTGGAATTCAATGAGCAAATTGAAGATAGTTTGTAAAACGGCAAAGCATAGCAGCATCCCAAAACTAAAGTTTCAAAATTAAATGATCATCGTAACACATCATTTCATAATTCGTTTGGATGCTTGTTTCATTTTCTCATTCCTCTCCTCCCCCATTTCTCATCTTCATTATTATGTCTCGCACCTACTTACAAATATAGCCTTTTTGTCGCCCTGTACTCTCCACACCTGATCATTCTAAAATTCTTCCACCTGATTAGCAACGGAAACGAGTCTTCTCTTCTCGCTTTCATCCAATTATTCTTGAAACTCGGGCAAAGTCGCCATGCAAAAAAAACTACCGAAAAATTGGTGGCATTTTTGCGAGAGAAGATCCAATTAAATACACCGCACGTCATCTTCTTTCTCACCCGCTTCAATGAATTATCGGCAAATTAGGAGAGATTAGCATCTGACGGCTTCACGGGAAAAAACGGAGTATAGAAGAGAAAGGCTTGGAACTTTATTGGGTAATAAAAATGGAATCACAGAAGACAGAAAACGGTTACGTGATCAGTAAAGAAAGGCTATTTGGGTAATCAAGAATCAGATGAAGAAGCTGACTCAAATATGTAATTGAAGTATCAAGTACAAGATAATCAATTAGGCTTTGTTCAATTAGGTAAGAGTAGATTTACCAATTCTGCCTTGTCATTTGATGAGGTACAGTAATCTTTTTTTAAAAATAACTTTTTTGAGTTGTATAACTTACCGTAAAACCTGTATTGGAAGTGCCCTTAAACTGAAATATCCCCTAGGCAACTCACGAAAAAACGTATATGCTTTCTTCAACTGAAGCACCTCTCCATTTAAAGATTATCTTGTTGGAGAAATTGTTGATGGATGTTAAGTAAAAAACGAAATTACGGAAAATGTCCCTCTAATATAAGTTCCCTCTTCAGCCACCTCACAAAAAATACAAGTGCACCGTCTATTTGTAGGGCGTCTCTAATTGAAGGACCCCCACTAGAGACACACGAAAAATAAAAGGTCCCTTCTAATACAGTTTTTACGGTATAGATCCCAGAAAGTCAAGACCTTTGGGGTAAACAGAAAATAATTTTTTTTCTTCTCAGTTCCTTGGAATTGAACCCTCCAGAAGCCTATATTTAGATTCAATCTTGCCCGAATTTAATCATGTTGTTTTCATTTGTTTTGTCTTAAATTCAAAAAAAAACTCCCAACTTCCTCTACCCTTACCTATTACTCATTCTCCTAACGTCATCAATATTTTCATACTTTCAAGAAAAATTCCTACTTTGTTGTTTTTCGCACATACAAAACCAATTTTGCATTCATTTTTTTTCCTTCTGACTCGACAGCTTCAAAATAATAGAAATCAGATGTATTGGACTCTTTATTTTGCTATTTTCCCTATTCTCCAAAATTAACTTTCAATTTTAGAGGTGCTATGACAACAAATGCAATGCTGCGAATGCGATCAAAGTCCATTTCGGATGTGTTCGCCACCAGTGAATGGGATGAAGATAAAGAGGATTTGATACCGAGACAGAAACAAGGTAATTGCACTTTGAGGGGGAAAAAAAGGAAAATGAATTTAGAATGATTGATTTCCGGTAGCTTTTTGAATATTTTTTGTGTGTTCCTGTTCCTGATTACTGATGAAATAGGAAATAGGGGTTTTCAGTTACCCTAACCACTCAAATACGATCGAAACAGTCAACTTTGAGCCCATATATATCTAATTTGCTGTAAAAATTTCGAAAAGTGTTCAAGTAACGAAATGTTTATCATAATATCAAAACCATTTCATCAGTTAATCACCTTTTGATACCTTTCACAATAGCCGAGTAAAATTGGCTCAAAGTTGAAATTAGAGAGGGCATTCTATTACAGGTTTTACGGTATGTGAAAATTGAAAATCACTAATTTTTTCCAGACAACACCTTAAAAAGTACACTAGACAAATGGAAGAGGTCTCTCAACCTGAACCCTCGCACGAATGATCAACAACCTTTCGACAGACGAACCAGTCGAGCAAACTCTTTTTTCAGTCGTCCACCACTTGTAAGGATATCCCAATAGCTACAAAAGAACATTGTTTGCTAACAGACACATCCCCGTTCTCGTCGTCAAAGTCTTGCAGTTACCATTCGGCGACCATCCGTGATCAAAGATGATTTGAAGGTATACAAGCAAAGGAAATCCTCAACTTTTAAAATTTATTTTCCAGAAGATGTGGGAGAATCGTCGAGCATCGTTGAGCAGTCTCAAAACACAAATAAAGGATAGAATAACAGGAAAGTCAAATGAAAATTTGGCAACAAGTCGTGATGGAAACACTTTTCAACGACAACAAAGAAGTCGATATGAGGAAGAGGAAGATTAGTTCAAATCAGATCATACTGTGGACTTCAAAAGAACGATAGTTGTCGCAATCCCATGCTTATATTCAGTTTTCGCCGTGTTACTACAGTATCTCATTCGTAAAAATCATCTCAACACATGTCGTCTTTAATAACATTTTCCATAATATTTTTTGTAATCTGTGTTAAATAAAGTTTCTTGTCTCTTGACTAGTATTTTCCACTTTTTTTTTGAAGAGAATATGAAATTTGTGTGATAAACAGCTATTGTTTTCAACCAGAGTATTGGTAGAATATTTAAAAAAAAACTTCTGAAACTCGAACCATCTGAACTGAAACAAAGACTCAAAAGCAACCGAAGAACAAGGTTCAACGCAAGATTCAGCACTCAATTCATCGGTCCCATGAAAATCTTTATAGTCCCGTCGATAATTTCATTTTTATGTAGCTTGGAATTCAGAAACTCTCCATCAAAACATGAAGATCGTAATTTTTTTTTCATGGGACCGTTCAATTATTGTGGGACCGTCAAAGCCATAAAGATCCCAAATTTCATTAATCAATTAAATTTGAAACGACAATTTTGAATTCCGGAAATAGATCTATCCTGGAGACTGCTCCCTCAATGATGCCCGATTCATGAAGTCCAAACCGTCTTTGGTTTGACTCACTTCTACGATTTTTAACTGTCTTAATATCGAATAAATTTTCTCAGCATCCCTAAATTCAGATACTTCAGATTATTCCCTATTTTCCCTTCTTGATATTTTACTCATTCCATAAATATTCCAAAAAGTTGTTTCTTACTTTTCCTGTGCTCCTTTTTCTGCCTACCACATCAAAAACCCACCTGTATGTTTTCACATCCAAATCTTTACAAATATGAAAAATCAAAGGCGACCCAAGATAATCGGTATCTGAAAATAACTGAACGATCACAAATATTCTTCCAAAATAGAAAATGCGGAACTGAAACAGCCGAAAACACTTTTTCTGCTGTCTCTGATCTGGATTTGGGTACTTCGAAGTGTATCCGGATCAGTGCTATTCTTCTTCCGTTTTTCTTTCCCTATTTTCTGTTGCCATTCCAGTGAAAAACATAGTCAATCATTCATTTTAATTATCAGCTTCATAATTGAAACGTAAATTACACTTCAACTTAATTTTTTTATCCGGTTGGAACACAGCTAAAAGCGAATTTCTTGTTTTTTTGTAAACAACGCTAGAAAAGGGGAGCAAAAACTTTCGAATGGGGGGAATTTTCAGAAAATTATGCATGAACACGTAAAGACAGACAGGAAACATGGAGGAAAAGAGGAAAAAAAGAAGAAGGTCTAAAAGATTAAAAAAGAGTTCTCATCGTTGCACCATCACCGTCAATCGTCAGAATCCAAGACGTTGTTTCATTTCTTTCCGAATCCACGTGCCGACAGAATCACAAGCCGTTTTAGGTTGGTCCGTTTGCTCAACGGCTGTTCGATTTCGTCATCCATTTGACTCGTATCGTAATCGTTTGGTGTCAAGCCATCGGAATATTTGGATCGTGGTTTCCAAAAACGCAATACTGTTTCTTGTTCACCTGAAAATCCAATAAAATAGAATTATATAATTGTAGGGTGTTGTGTAGTAGTTAAGAGCGTGTGTCTTAATGGAGCAGAATAAAACTGTGGTTTACAATTCTTGTTTTTTTCTTCTCGGAGGTTCAATTAACGCTTAATCTAGGTCGCTTCCGAGTGCACTCCCTGTCTGGCTTCAAAAATGTTTCAGAGATCATTTACGTGCATTTTGAGCTCAATTATTTCGGTTCCTGTAAATGATATTGAAAATTAGTTAACTGATAAAATGTTGGTTATAATATTGTGATAAACATTTTACCAGTTGACCACTTTTTGATATCTTCAAAAAGAACCGAGATAATTGAGCTCAATTGGAACAACAACAATAATTTTAAAACTATAATACTTCGGGGCCTCTTTAAACTTTCTCAACTTTGAATTTCACTGAAATCTTACCTGATGGCATAACGGCATAGGAGACAACCAGCGTTGACATGATGGAAATTAGAAGAAAAAGACGAGCGATGTTGTATAGGGACGACATCGTTTCTTTGTGTGTTACCTGAAAAATGACGGTATAATTCTGTGGGTGCTTTCTGAGTCAAATCGAGTCAAACATTAACACGTAAATTGAATATCAAAAAGACAGGAAAAAGAAACAAGTCAACTGACATTTGTCAGCGTTTTTTCAGATATGGTCAGATTATTAAACTTGAACATAGAGCAGGGTGTCCGCAGACAAATTGTAGCAATGCGACCAGATAATAAGCGTAAAACTGAAAGAGAGAGCAGTTAAAAACAATGAGCTGTCTGGCTCATTTGTGTGTTTGTGGTATGAGAGTCTTTAGAAAAAAAAAGGAATGGACATTACTCATCCATCATTTGCCATATAAGTTTTTAGCGATGATCACAGTTATCTAGTGACTTGGTTGGGCAAGTAAAATTTCTAAAATTTTGCGATACGATAAAAATTACCACTAAGAAATTTTGGCACTTTATCTGGCACTTCCTAAATTTAGCCATTTTTTGTTATTACCAAATTTTGGCAATACCCAGTTTCGGCTTTAAGAACGGTGCCCAAGGAGTCTGCCTCAAATAGAATAGGGCAAAGCAACTCGGGTATGAACGCCGGACCACACTTTTCGTAGTATTACCAGCATCTACGCAAAAACTCCTCGAAATTGAGTTATCGCTCGAGAAGGCGGGAGGAAGGAGCAAAAAATATTGACACCAATAAACGTAGATCGGGAATTTCGTGTGCAAAAGATTGTGCGTACATAATTGCATCTAGGGGGTGTTGGAGAAGAGATCTGCTGATCTATAGACACGAGGAAGAAGAGAATTTATGATCAATTATGTTCCGATTGTTCCAAGAAACTTTTGATTTCATAACGAAGTCACAGTTTCAGAAAGACGTCAGCCATGATCTCTGGATGTCTCCAAATCCGGTCCATCATCTTTTGATGTCTTGTGAGTTCTTTAAACAGAACAAAACACAATACTGCAAACTTTTCGAGTGCAAGAATCAGGGTCACAAGAAAAATGACAAGAATGAAAATTTTTGCAAAAAAAAATGGAACGAGCAAAAAAAAGTGAGTGACTCAAAAAGTTTAGCCCTAATTAGAGACCACCGGAACCTCTTTTCTCATGTTTTCCATTGTTGCGATGGGTTGCTCCGCATGCTCTTCCACCCTCAACCCCATTCAAATAGGCCAGAGGAAGCCCTTCCTGACCCAGATGACGTGTGACATCTAGTCATCATCTGTTGCCAAAAAAAGAGACTGCCGAAAGTTTCTGGACTCTAAATTCTAAATTCGACATCGGCTCCTCCGACTAAATTTAAATCCAGATTTTCAAATCAAATCCGATTTGAAGCCGGGACACGAAGATTTGTGATCCGGCGGCGTAAAATGGAATTAGAACAGAATGGAAGAGAAGGAAGAAGGGGAAGAACCAATAAAGTAGAAGCCTGACATCATGATGGGTCCCCAGACACCTTTAGGTGCCACTTCATCTTCTCAAAAGTCCCCCTGGATGATGTCACCTTAACGACTTATGAAGATGACAAGGGAAAATGGAGAAGAGAGGGGGAGGGTGTTCTTATGAGTAATGAGAGAAAAAACTGTTGGGGGGGGGGGGGTTTCTAACGAGGGAATATATTAATGAGTTCGAAGCTACTTCAGTAGCGACGTTACTGATAGGTTCGGCAATATTAACAGAGAATGTGCTACGGTCGAGCCGCGGCCCGTCATGGAAACATTTCTGTAAAAACGCCCGTGGCCTAAATCATGATGGCAGATTGTCGGAAAAGACCGCCCTCGATTGTCAATACAAAAACAACTGACTGGCAATGCACATGCCATAAAAATCGTTCTAACTTAAGTACCATGAAATTAATGTGGGCGAGACCATAAATTATGAAAAGTAGAATACAATTACCCTGAAGTATTGTTTTTCCTATCTAGAAGACGTGTCATTCTTTAAAAATCACCTGTCCTGGAGCCTATGAACTTGCTAATTAAATGTGAAATGAAACCAAACCACCAGCAGTAACCACAAAATAATGGGGCACATTCGAGTCTAATAATTGTTCTAGACAATAATATTATTTGAACCCAATCAAAAATTTGGTGCATTGATCTCTTTTACTCAAGAACTTCCGGATTCAAAGTCTTGGTCTCATTCATTCTTCTGGAGCAACGCCGCAAATAATTTCATTTAGATGCCAACAAATGCAGATGGGTCATGATTAAGAAGTGTTTCTTCTGAAAGAGAAGAAGCGGAAGGCGTTGTGACGTTTTGGAAGAAGAAGACTTTACACCCCGGGTTCTAATTGAAATCTCAGCAGGCGAAACGTTGTGTCATAATGTGAAGAAGTATGAGTTCAAGAAGAAGAAATAAGATAATAGGTGGTCAAAGGGAACATTCAATAAGTGTTATGAAACAACAATTCAGGTTATTTGTCCTTCGGTTCGGTTCAAAGAGAAATCTTTAAAAAGATGAGAATGATATCAGAAAATTTGAATAATGGGATTAACAGATCAAAAAAATTCAAAATAGTGATCTTCAGGGAGATCAGGCTACAGATTACCGACAAGTTCAAGTTCTTTTATAGCTTAAAAAAGATGATGATGAAATAATGTAAAACATGTAATAGAAGGGCCCCTGACTTTTAACCTTGAGTCGATTTCTCATGGTTACTGTCAAAGATATAGAAAAGTTTTAATATGATAAATTGCTTGTCATAATAGCAGTATTTCGTCAGTTGACATATTTTGGATATCTTGCATAAGAATCGAGAAAAATGAAAAAAATCTTGACAGTATGGGGGCCCTTTTATTGCAGGTTTTTGGTAACTTTTTTACAACGTCCAGAATTTAGAATCGTTTGGATAATCTGCCAGCTGATTAGCTGGCTGAAAATTGAACTTCTGATTCTGGCCAAGAAACCAACAAAAAACAAATCAATTATCGAAATTATCCCAAAAATGTTCCAGCACATAAACCAAAACAACCAGAGCATAGAGGACACACATTAAAAAAAACCCCCCATGTCCTCAATATCTCCAGTGCAAGAGAGCATCTAGACTTATTGAGCCCCACGAATGATCCTCAAAGTGATAAACTCTGACTCCGCCCACTTCCTCCAGACATCCTTCTTTTCCAGAAAGAGACCACCCCTTCTTTTTTTCTTTTAAATTAAGATAAAAGGGGTGCTTGATGGACTCTTTCTACGCCTTGTAGACGTTGGGAACGGGGGAAACCAGGAAATAAAATTTTATGATTCGTCCCCCCGTTCTTTGTTCCAATCCAATTTAGGGGTCAAGAAACAAATATTCGGCTTTTGGAACAGATTTTTTACAAAATCATGGAAATGAAAAAAAATGTCGGATCCGGGAATGGCAGGAAAAAATAGACACAATAGCTTGTGTCCTCGGCTATTTTTAGAATCACTGAACCCAGAATAAAGCTGGTGGGAAGAAAAAAGAGAAAACGAGATGACTAGCAATTTGGTTCGAAATCTTCAATTTCAGACTTCCCATTACAAAAAATGTAAAAATGTACTCTTTTAAAGGTGGGGGACATGAAAAAAAACAATGTTCTCGATAGTCTGTCTATTGTCGAATTAAAAATAGTGGGACCTGAGAATTTGAAAGGCGTAGATTTTTTTTTGATCCACGAAAAAGCGCGGCAAAAACGTAATATTTCAGAGTTTCGCCTCGTTCGAGCTACTTTCGCAATTAAGTTCGGTTTTTCAATGAAAGACAGATTCTAGAGATGCTAGCGATCATTTTCATACCAAGAAACGTAAATTTTGTCCAGAAAATCTCACATAATTCACAGAAATAAGCTTCGTTTACTACCGTAGTGTTTTGGGGCAAGGCCTCGAAAATTGACCGGGAAGCCGCCCGCGAAATTTTCCAGGTCCCACTTTTTTTAATTCGACAATAAATATGCCCCTCGAGGAGTTGAACTTGTAGGGGCGAAGATTGAAAGTGCGGCGCCGCTACTGACTGAGCCACGCGGGCAAAGAGAAAGTGGCCACCCGATTGCATACATAAAGGCGAGGACGACAGCTGTACGCAGAGTGACATTAAGCGTTGTACACCGTCACGGTAGAATGCATACCCTAGCTACAAAAATCCTAAAATCTCCTGTCCCCCACCTTTAATTATCGTTATAACAATTGAAAGAGGGAAGTTTTGAGGGTTTTGTATCACTAAGCACGTCGGTAAATCAGGAACCATAAAATGGTATTTAATGGGAATCGTATAGATTTGTAGTTTCAGAGAAGTGTTTTTGAATAATAGGAGTCCCTTGGGTAATGAGCCATCTATCTGTCTACCTGGAAAATGCTAAACTTTGTAGTACTCAAACACAAATGAGATACACAAAAACAAGACGTTCCTGATGATATTATAGGTAGGAGGAAACGAAAAAAATAATTATCTCCTGATTTTGTTCTTTTAAGCTCTCGAGGAGTTGAACTTGTGAGACGAGTGTTCAAGGTGTGGCGTCGCTACTGACTGAGCCACGCGGGCGAAGCAAAAGCGGCCGCCATACATTCCTAAAAACCTGTAATAGAATGGCTTCCACACTGTCATGTTTGAGCTCAATTATCTCAATTCCTATACGAGATATCAACAATGTTTCAACTGATAAAGTGCTTGCTATATTATGATAAACAATTTATCAGTCGACAACTTTCTTATATCTTTAACAGAAAACGAGATAAATTGGCTCAAAGTGAAAGGTTAGAGGGTTCTTCTATTACAGGTTTTACGGTTTGATGCATTCAGAATGTAAATAAGCTTCACATGATCAGTTTCTCACAAAATTTACTAAATTTGACAAGTACAATAAAAGCTATTCTTAACTTCTGAATTGAATAAAATACGCGTTCTTCAATCTTCTTTTTTGCCCACGTAACATTCTTATTTTTTCAAGATCGGAACTCAGATTTGACTGGACCTCCCGAGGGATCCATACTTAATTGAAAATAAGGCTAATTTCCTCTTGTAGTCTAATTCTTATAACTTGACCT